TGTATTCATACACTGCTTAGTATCTCTACGACAGTGAGATAAGAGCAATAAGCAGAGTAGCTTTCCCGTCATTATTTTGTTTTTTTGACTTTCTCTAGCAAAAGCAGGAAGGGGAACAGCCATTTTCCTCTGCCAGACAGTCTGACATCTGTAGGCAGGGCAAGGCTGAACCTGTCAGTTTAAGGCACCCACTGTAGGTTCATGGTGCTGTGTACCACATCCCACAGCTGACACCACAGTGTAAGTGCTTAAGGCAGCCCTGCCAAATTGTTCTCACTTAAGCCTGAGCTACAGAATTTAAATTTAAGCGTGGTCTTATTTTCCATAAGTTTTGGCAGGATTCAGCATAATTTCAAGAGGAGGTCAGTATGCTGTGAAATTCAAGGTGTTCAGAGAACATTTCCCAAAGACAAGCACTGGATAGGGAATGGAAAATACAGCCTTGGGAAAAAAAGAAGTTTCTTGCTGAAGGTCTTGAAAAGCCAGATAGATCAAAAATTACTGTGGTGATGAAGGTGCCTATGATTGTGTAACTCAAAGTGATCGTTTGTATTGTAAATGCTGGGCCAATTGCAAATGTGATTATTCTTTCTTTCTTTCAGGAGAACTCATGGATCCCAAATGAAGCTGTCCTTCGCTTCTTTATTGGGACTCCAAAGTCAGATGTGAAAAGGGATATTGGTGTTGACCTAAATTTTAGTGTCCCACAGAAAAAATTCAGAATTCAGTTTATACAACCTAAGAAAAAAATCGAGATTGATGGTAGGTTTTTCAACTAAGAATCCGATCGTCAGTTAATTTCAGTAAGAAGAACTTGATTAGAAGTAACAGAGAAATATCACTGTAGTTCAGTCAGTAATCTAATGCTAAAACTACATTATTGTGTGATAGCCATACAGTTACTACTTTAGGTAACACCCATTTCCAGTGGTTTTTGAGTCCTGATTAAGACTATTTTGCACAGTCAGAAGTTCAGTACCTGATTCACAAACTCGCGTTAGAGAGAAAAGCTGTTACCAGTATAGATGAAGTTAAGGATAAGGAACACAGTGAATTATTCTGTAATCTTTTACATATGCTGGACTGGCCTTACTATTCCTGAATTTTAGTTTGCTGTATTTTATTAGTTCTGATATGAAATTGCTTGTTGCCAAATCAATGAAGTACTGACTGTGATGCATTATAACAAAAAGTAACATTCCAATTGCAGTGGAACATAGAAAACAAAATCAACAAGCACATCGATGAAATATAAACTGATAAATATATGATCTATAATAATATAGACAATATATATCAACTTCTTTGACATGCTAGGCAAATGATGTTTTGTTTTGTACAGTATAATACATCAAATCCACATATGTAGAACGTGTCCCTCCGTATTCTTACTTATTTTTTCTTAATCCCAGTTATTTTCAAATGGATTGTATGGAAGATTTACCTATACTGTGCAACGCTTTGCATGCACAGTGTTCTGAGCTCATGAGGTATCTCCACAGCACAACAGAGCTTACAAGTTTTAGTACAGGCATAAAGGAAGTGTATAAATCACTTCTAGAACTGAGCTGGTTTGTTGGAGACAGCTTTGTTGCCTCTTCATAATTAGTATTCTCAGAACGTCCTTTCAAAATGTATATTCTGAGGATACTTCGATGCCTTTGCAAATTCTGTTCTTAAATTTTTTCCTTTGCTCTGATATTTATTATGGTTTAATTTTGTAAATGTATTGTTCACAACATTGGCAACTATCATTTTGGGTACGGTTCTATGAAGTATTACTGATATGTATACATCCAGAAAAAGTAAATGGTTTTGTTTTTCTCCAAGGAAGAATTGAGTTTTCTAAAAATTCACGAATTGGACACCTGGAACTGATAGTAGATGACAGAGATGTATATTACATTAAGGTATGTTTTCAGGTTATGAGCTCTCATACTAGGATGAATACTTAAATAAAAGCACAGAAAAGAAAGGCAGTGAAAACCACACATATTGATAAATAGTTTTATCATCACTCCATCAGAGAAGTTCTCATCATTACATATGTTTGAGACAGACTCAGTGCTAAATCACTGTGTTTTAAAAACTTTTAAAGCATGGCTTCTGTAAGTAATTTAAAGGATTTTTTCACATTCACATGTACTCTCAAAACTTTCAGGCTGCTCCCAGTGTTAATTCAGTAGAGGAAGATCCATTGACTCCTGTGGGCTTTGGCTCATTATGTCCACATGTAGTCATGGTTTTTCAGGCCTGTATTGTGACCATGTGTAAAGACTCTGAGTAAGTCCAGGTTAATTTCTTCACTTTTGTGGACTCTGTAGACATAAGAATCTCTAAGATACTGTTCTTTATATCACAGAAACTGTGGGGTTTTTTTAAAACACTGGGGAATAAGGAAGAGAATGCCAGTGTTTGAACTCTGAAATGAAAAAGCAAACAGAAATGCAGGTGGGAGTTTATCACTGAAACTCTACTGACATTTTTGTTTATATTCCAGGATTTGAACATTTTTTTCATTATGCAATGATATCCATAGCAGATTGCCATGTCTTATGTGGGCCTCCAATTGGTTTCAAACACTCCGCATTTTCTTACAGTGAGCACATTATTTAAGAGATCTCTTTTTTTTCCCTAGAGTAGTATTTCAGCAAAGGGTTTCTGGATGTTTCCCACAAACTCAAACACTAATTGTGTTGCATCTAGTCCAACCTAAATCTAATTACCTCTGTGAGACTGCAGGTATTTTTGGTAACACCATATTGTTTTTTGGCTCAGTATTGTAACATTCTTAGTGATTTCAATCACTACTGAAGCCAGCAGGAGGTGAATGAAATAGCATCTCATACCACTGTGGTTTTTATATAACTGGAAAAAACAAATCCATCCTTCCTCCCCGTTATTTACTCACAGCAAGTTTTATGGTTTGGGAGGTGGAAGGGTGTTTGTTGGGTGTATAGAAAAAAATCTCTTTTCTTACTCATCTCATCTCACTTCCAAAATGCCCAAGTCTATACTATTCCTTTCTCAAACGTTAATCAGTTTGTTTTTTGTTTTTTTATTTGTTTGTTTATTCTAGGGAATGACAGATTTGCAGATGCTAAGTGGAGAGCAGAGGGACATGATCCAATTGGAGGTAAAGCTGGTAAAGCAAAGCAGTCCTATCATTCTGTCAGGAAACATCACTAAACAACTTGGCAAGAAGATAGCTTTTTCATTATCCCTGAATAATTTATTGAAGGATGCTGCATTTCTTTCAGGTTAGAGGACAATAAGTATTTGCCATATACATGTAAGTTCTGGAGCCCTTAGCTATTAGGGTTGCCTTGTTTTGGACGCGTATTTCTAAAGTTCTTTCAAATCAGTAAGACTGCTTTTAAAATTTATTAGCCTTGATAAATTAGTACTAATATGTATTTCAGAATGATAGGAATTATAAAATAAATTATTTTCTAAGTGTGTTTTTAATTACTGTTTAATTACTGGTGGAGGAAATAAGATCGCTTAACAAAAAAATGCCAAAACAGTAACAACTCTTAGAATATTTTCTGGTTTTCACTTTTCTTAGTACAAAAGAGTGCTAGAGGCACATATATGTAGCTAAATGTCTCTTAAGATCTGATCTAAAATCTAAAATATTTTTTTTCTCACAAATACACTAAGAGGAAAATAGAAGTATCAGAAAGAGGGCTTTACTATTTGTATGACATCAGTTTGTTAAAAGGTAAATTAATACAGTGGAATAAACCAGTAATTTAAGGCTCTCATTTTTTCATTAATGTTTCTTACTGTAGTCTCTCTGTGGCAAAGACATTGAAATGTTATAGAATTACCCAGTATTTTCAAATAGAACTAACTTTTAAGGAATGCAGAATGCCAATTTGGTGAAATCTCCATCCTTAGCTTTCAGATGGATTGCCAGTGACTGCATCTAAAAACAGTTCTGGTCTGATTTCAAGCTCTTATTTCCTGAGAACTCGGCTGCACCAGTTGTTTTGTTGCAAAGCCACAACCTTGCTCTGACTTAGTGTAGAAGTAAATATTCAGAGGTTCACGTTTAGGTCTTAGTTTATGAAAAGATCAGTCTGTTAGAATTTATTTCCTTTTAGAAGCAGCTTTGGCTAGATTCATTTTGCTAAACTTAAGCAGTATCTGAGAAATGTGATCTACAGGCTGTCTATGTAGTGGGAGAAAGAGAGTGAACACCCAGCTCTGTTTACTATGCAAAGGGTACATCATGGGGTTCCTCAGTTAGGATGAAACTGAATGCATTTGTGTTTTTACCACTGTAGTATTCCTTTTACTTGCTAAAGTAACTTCATGTTCTACCACTGCATAATCACTTCTGCTCTTTTTGTAGCATTTCTGGAGAAAAAGGTTGATGATAAGCTGAGACAATACTCATTGGAAGGGGAGACTTACCTTCCAGGTGTTCTTGGAGTTCATGTCGTTGGTCTTCTCCAGCAATCTGAGGGCTTATGGTCTCATGGTTTGAAGATAAAATATGGACTCCTAGGTACAGTGAAAAAGAGAGAAAGAAAAGCATTCTGTTTGTCTCATTTTTATGCAAATTGTTTGCCTGTATAATGAGAACGCTCTCTTTAACAAGAAAAATTTTGGTTGATTTTTAAACTGTCATCTGAGACCTAGGACAAGTTTCTCTTTTCACTTTAAACTTTGCTCTTTGAGTATGCATACAAAAAAACATTCATTTTTTTGATGTGCTTTTCACAAGCATGTTCAACATTTGATTAGAAGTCACTTTTCAGTGGGAATTGCTCCTAATTGATTTGTGTTCTCACGTGTTTATACAAAACAAATTACTGCATATGTACTCTTAAAAATATGAGGGACTGTTTCTAGGGAACAGTCAGCTGTGTTCTCCTGGCTGCAATGTATGAACTGTGAGTTAATTTTATTAGATAAAGCAGGAGAACATCAGTACAATTATATCAAGGTATTTAATACTTGTAGTAGCTAATCATGATAAGCATTACAGGATGATTGCATATGTAAAGTTTGTTGTACCTTCAGAGACAGTATGTAGCCATATGAGTGGTAAAGTTTTCTTAAACCTACACAGGTATGACCCCATAATTTTGCTAAAAATGGCATGATGGTCAGAGTATTTTATATACACAAAACCAAACACTTAGAACAGTACTAGATGATGTCTAGCTATAAATATGTAATTACGAAGTTATATACTTACTGTAGAACATACTGCCAGACGTTTTATATTAATTGAATATCTACTTGTCTTTTACTTTTTACCGTGCTAGTATTTTCATAGATGTAAATCACTTCTCTAGCAAATGCAAACTCACTGTTCTTAAATGCAGGTTCATTAAATGTGTGCTTTCCTTTGGATTCTCAGGGAAATCAACAAGTACATATCTGCAAAAATAGACAGATCTCACTTTGATGTTTTTGAAAAATACAAACCTTGAAGCCAGCACTAGATTTATGCTATTAACATTTTGAAAGTTTACTTCTGATTTATATGAATAGGTTAACTTTGTGATTTAACTCAACAGGAGAGGCAAAAAATCTTCATCATGAATGCAGTACACAGCAAAAGATTCAAGTGGAGACAGGTGCACACAGCATCTACAAACTTGATATTGGGCATGAATTTCACTGTATGCAGGCTCCAACCTATAATCACAAGGTAGAGATACTGACCAAAACACTTCTGCACTGAGTTCCCCTGTGTCACTCCCGTACTGAGGGGTTTGAACAGAGCAATGCCCAAGATGCCATTTTTGGATCAGTCTTTTTCTTCTCATCTTGTTTCTTTGCTTTCTGTGTAGACAAAGGTATCTAGTCAAATTGCTAATTTATGCAGTCCATTACAGCTGTGATGGAACTGTCTAGTGATGTAGTTTTTAATGTATTAATTCACAGAACTTCTGCAGAATGTTTGTTGGGAAAATTCTTGTTATATTTAAAACAACAGTATTAATAAGTTTATGATTTATCTTGTACTACTTGTAACTAAGTCAGGAACTCTGGTTATTCATCAGAAGTTGTATGTCTGGAAAATAAAACATTTTACAGTGTCTTGCATTAATTTTTGGGTTCAGAATTGGATGCTTTCTTAGAAGTTGCATGCAGAAAAGCAGATCTGTTGAAAATAGCTTCCTTTACAGACTGCCTGAAGGCAAAGGTTAATTTAAAGGCAAATGACCATTAATACTGGCTATTTGCTGCAGAACAGAGAGCTGGCTGAAAAATAAGCGTCTGAATTAAAAAGAAATTTTGTGTCCTTTCAGATTTGCTTTTGGTCCAGGTTGGACTGAAGCTGAGAACTGTTAGGATTTCCCATGAAGCAAGATATTGGCAAGCTTTGCAGCTGCACAGTGAATCCACGTGGGGCAGTCCATCAGGAGTTACCCGAATCCAGTTACCTTAGCTTTTGAGAAAAGCAATTTAACTAGCAGTGCACAGACTAAAAGTTTTGAGCATTTTACGCTGAATTTGTATCTTCTGCTGAAACATGGTTTTTCTTTGGAAAATTTGCAACCCTTTCCGCTTTAGGTTGCTTCTTGGGAATATTTCTACAGGCAGTTAATTATCCGTGAGTAAAATAGAAAGCATGGTTTACAGGAAAACAGTGTATTTCTGTTCTTTAGGTTCACCTGAAACATGAGGCGAGTGCATCTCGGCTTTCCTCCCAGGTGGAAGTAAACTATGGGAAACACTGGGATGAAATAAACAACAAGAAGAAACTGCTGATCAGCCAAGTGTTTAAGAATAGTTCCAGTTCATCTCTAGTCAGCTATTTCATGGAGGTAATAATGATTGTTGGAAGATTAAGACCATCAGTTCAACCTAAAAAAAGATTTGGGATTAATTTATTTATTAATACTTTTTGTTTTTCCTAACTGTGTTACGTATTGGTAAGTAAGATATCCAGACCTAATAATTTTGAGTTTGGTAAGGTCTTTACCCAGGCACGTAGAGATCACTGACATTTAAAATGAACAAGAGAAAGCCAGTAGATGTTTTTTTTTTTTCAAACACTAAAAATGTTTGAGTGTAACGTGTTCTGAATTTTTTGCAGAGATTGTACATATAAAATGATTACAGAGATTTGTGAAAGTTACTTTACTCACACAATGTGGATGGAGGGTGCAGGTTATAATAACTCAGAATATGACAGCATTTAGGTGGAAGTTGATATGGAATGCTGTAGCTGAACTAAAATCAGACCTGGGTTTTTGTGGGGTTTTTTTTGTTACATACGCTGATTTCTGCCCTGGATAAAGCTATAAAGTGAATGGCAAATGTGCAGAGCAGAGGCACTAGCTGTGACCTTCCTGCTGCTGTGTGTGTGTGTGTGTGTGTGTTAGCTTAGACAGTTCTGAAGTTGGGATTCTGTCTTTATTTAAATTTGCTTTCTGCTGCTGTGTGTGTGTGTGTGTTAGCTTAGACAGCTCTAAAGTTGGGATTCTGTCTTTATTTAAATTTGCTTCACTTGTTTTCCAGTTTACCATGCAAGTCCTGGAAAAACAGGCGAATTACAGAACCCAGCTGCAGCACTCGCACAGCTCTCGGGTTTATTTGCAGAGCAGCACTAACTTGGAGGTGCACTATAATGACCATGTGCCATTTGTGGCTGGGCTGCAGTGGAAAGACGCATCTGGAAGTGGCCTGAAGAAGTGGGAAGGTGAAGTACTACAAACTGTTTCCAGTCTGTGATTAGAAAAGCAGGCATTGAAACTTGCTGCTGGGATTTTATGAGGTGGTTTTGCATGGGTCAGAATCATAGAAATACTAGTTGGAAGAGACAGACCCTGGAAGTTAGCCTTGTTCCAAAACCCCAGCATCTTACCAGCTTTATTGCAGAGTTAGAATCCAGGTAGCTTGAAATCTCACTTTTCTGCCAGCTTTAATATATGTTCCCTCCAGGTGGATTAAATATAGACACCCCATGGCTATATCTGTATGCAGCTCACAAACTACATCAGCCTCAGCATTCTACTTATTTATTGACTACGGAGCTGACAACTGGAAAAGCTCTCTCCATTAAGAATCTTGTAGTGGAACTATTTTACAAAGATCAAGGCAATGAAAAGGAAGGGAAAGTTCACATTTACACACCAGCTACCACATACCTGCAGGTTAGTAACATGGTGCTTCCTATAGTTTATGGCTTTGATGATATAGAGCTTTGTGATAGATACCCAACAGAACTGTCATCATACTGGAATAACACTTGTTCAGCATGCTATGTAAAGTAGCTTGTTTGAGAAACTCATGCAGTGTGTGCCAGGTTATGAGAGGATCTTGAAATGCCTATGTACATCTGTTCTCTGTGCTTGAACGATGAGCTATTCTTCCTCTGGGCCAGCCGAATCAGTACAGCGGGGGTCTCTTAGCTTTGAAAAAATGTTAGGGCCACCACCTCTGCCACTCTTTGGAACAGGAATCCCATCACTCCCTACACAAAACCCAGATACGTGATGGCAGAGTTGTGCCTAGGAGTGTACAAATAATAATGACTATTTTAAAGTACCCTCTCTGCCCCTGCCATGAGCTAACAGTCTCAGGAAGTAGGAAAATTGGATCATCGTGTAAGAAATGTTTAAAACTTCATTCTTAGTGATATGAAACAGCTGAGAGTGTCTTAGCTAAACTTTTAAATTAAGGCCTGGTCATTACAGCATTCAACTAAATTTGAGGCATTAGATTTAAAGGCATCCTCTGCCTGAGAAGAATGTAACCTGCCTCTTTCTGGAGAGTATTCTGCTCATGTAGTTCATGGGCACTTGCTGCCTCTTGATACAGGCACCGTTTATACAATTCTCATGAGTATTTGGAGCTCCATTAATATTAGAGCTCTGATCTTGCAGAACATCAGCTTTGCTACTGAGGTGCTTTTGCTGCTACTCATAAAGAGTAGCACCCACTATATCTCTACAAAATGAAGAACTATCTACAGCTAATTCTGCAATATGAATAGATTCAGTAGGAGAAGTGGTAATTCTTTTGCAGGCTAGAGTACTGGATAGCTGAGTGGTTCGGAACAATCCGGAGAAATGAAAAGTTATTTCTTTTGTTGTGACTTAGAGAATGACTCCAGTCTCCCATAAAACCTTTGAGAAAATATTCAATAGCAGGTTCTGAAGGTGATAGTCTTCTGCCTTTTCTATTGGGATTCTTTCACCTTCTATACAGAAAATAACCACTGAATGTATTCAGTGTGCCCTGAATCTAATTTATTTTAGACTGTGCTATGCCATAGAGGTTTAAAACTGATTTCATGACAGTAGCTGTGCATTAAGCAATATGATAAACCTCAATCACTATGCTAAGCGTAGATTTATCTTGGAGAAGCTTAACTTCTTGTCTGCCTCAGTATAAATGAGGTGAGAGCCTGGAATTTCTGCCTTTTTTTTTTAAGGTGTTCCTTTGTTCTGAGCTGCAGCTTTCCCTCATTACATCACTGCTGGTTCAGGCACAGTGTGGAGGATTGTGAAACACATCCTTGAATGAGGAAAAAATGTCAGATATTTTCTTTTCAACTATTTAGCTTTTTCTCTCTCCCTTGCGTAGAAGGGATAAAGTAAACTTTTGAGATCTTTATGCCAATTCAGAGTATTTTGATAATGGAAAAGCTGGCACACTATTTCTAATAGTTCTTGTAATGATTGTCTCCAAGAAAATGTGTTCCTTTCACTTCTGTGCTGTACTGTTGGCACAGCAGGATTCTGTCCGTCATAGCTCAACCAGACTAATGTCTATCTTTGTTTTTCAGGCATCCACATTTAATCGTCTTGGGAGGAATGTTCTGCATAGCTATAGTGAAATGGTATCTCTGTGGAATCAGCTTATGAAAAATGAGATTCATTTGGAGAATAATGAACGAGCCAAATATCTCTGCTTTAAGATAAAGAATACAAAACAGGAATTTAACTTCACAGGCAGCTATCAGAATCTGCCAATGGTATGAAAGAAATACAAATACAATTTCTTTGATTCAGCACTGTGTTTTTCAGGTCTGCCATCTGCCTGAGAGCTGCTATTGCTAGTGTTGGAACTTAAACACTTCTAGTGCTGGTTCTGTTTCTGTCTGTTTTGACAACCTGCAGTGTAAAACTAGGTTCTAAAAGAAAACAAACAAAAACTTGTGTGGTATAGTTTTGAGTACTTCTCGCCTGTTTGGGGGGCCAACTGCAGACAGAAAGTCAGGGAGGAGAGGACAAAGAGAGACTACATGGCTAGAAAGAGAGTTGTAGATGTGATTACTTACATTTTGATGCAGATGTTTGGCAGATGTAGAAGATGCTACTGTCTTGGAGAATCAAAATATCTTGCCTGCTAGTGAGCATAGTAACAGCCTGGGTTTATATGCTGTTTTAGCCTCTACATCCTTTCCAACCTTAAAATCATTTTTGTTTTGCTTGATGTCTGTAGTGCAGGAAGTGTAATCAGCAGTTTGTTGTCCAAAGGGACACTTGGATTGGTTACTTTGGTCAGTTCCTTGCAGGACTTCTTAAAACAAAGTGTTTTTCTAGTCGTAACATTCCATGCTTTCAAAATCCAATCAGTTTTTATATGTCAATGTGCTCGTATGGGAGCTAAAGCTTACTCATAGTGTAAACAGGTTACACTCAAGTGACAAATTTTAGGACATTTGTTTTCTGCTGAAGGGAGTTTTCTACTAATGTCACTTTTAATCCTACATAAATGGGTTTAAACTGAAGCAGAAAGGGGTTGATCTGTGAAAGGACAGCCTCATTGCAGCCTGTTGAACAATGTGACTTCTATATTGATGTTCCTGAATGTGAATGCAGTAAATCTGATGCAATTTTCCTGTCCTCTTCTGGTCTCATGCTCTGAGTGCAGCCTAAGAAGACAAACTTTACCATGAAGACTGTGTGGAAAGACTATAAGAATCTGCCTGTCGTGCTGCAGTTTGAAGGTCAGATAGAGGAGCTGAAAAACGAGAAGATGCTCTATCAAAAACGTGGAACCCTTAATTTCAGGTTCAGTAGTCGTCATTTCTATCTCTGAAGAATGTTTTGGCCTAAATTTAGTGTGCATCCTGATGCTCCTGGGAAATGTTTAGGACTTTATGAAGTAGCCACAAACCCTGTACTTCCTCCCATCTGGCTCTCTGGTCTTGCTCAAAACTTTGCAGGCTGTTTTTTTTTGCATCCCTTAGCTTTTGCCCTCTTTGTTGAAAGGGTAGTGAGCAAAGTTGTCAAATACAACAGGCCATTTGTGCTGTGGCAACGTGTTTGTTGGCAGCTCTATTGGCCATGTAGCCTCCTTTCATGAAAACAGCAGGATTTATGGTGTGTCCAAACTTTGAAGTGAGGAGAAGTTCCAAAATCCAGATCTGATCATCTGTGCCATCTGGATGTCTTTATTCCCAGTCCTTAAGATTAATATAGCCATTCTAAAGCCAAATAGACACAGCTTGAAGGCCTTGGTAAAAATGTATGTTCAGACTTGAGACATCTGGATCATCTCTGAGGAGTCTCAGCTTTCTTAAGGCACAGTAGGGTCAACAGGAGTGCAGAGGCTCTCTTAGGAGCTACTGTGCATCTTGAAGATAGCTAAAAAACCTGCAAGATGCCTTTTCAGTAATGGAAAAAAGATGAAAATGAAGAACAAAGAGCTGTAGCTGATATCTTAATATGTATAAAGGCAGTTCAATATCTGCTTATTAAAGATAATGCGTTTTTCCAAGATATCAAGCTAAGTAAATGTGCAGAAATATTTAATAAAGTGCATAAAACATTACACTGAAGTAGGAAACGACTCTGAGAACTGTGTAGTGGCTGAACATCTGTTGCATGGGATTCTTGGCATTCAGATATTGTTTCTACAGAAAGCATAAAATGTGGCTCATAAGTGAGATTTTCAAAGCTGCCATAATCTTTTGGACAATGTCCCTATTTGAAATGAAGTCTTGGTCTTGCAGGTATTTAAAGAATATGTAGTGGTTATGCATGTCAGAATTTTAGAGCATCACCCTCTCCCATGCTCTTCTAAGCCTTTCCTGAATTCAGCATGGAAACTGTACCAGAATTTCTGGTAAATGCGTGTAGTTTGTATGAAGTTGTAGATATGCTCTGGGAATTTCTTAAAGATCCTGGTCCTCTGTGGTTTACTTCTGTATCTGACATCCTGATGGCATCTGCAACTGAAAATTTTGGAGTTCAAGTTGAACTCTGCACAATTTCTTTTTCCAGTGGTCTAAGATCTTTTATATTTTGCTTATTCCTTGTTTTGTTCCAGGCATCCTTTTAAAGTACCCATTCTGCAGAGCTTCCTTCTGCAGGAGACATTTACTGTTGACAAAAAGCAAAAGCACTATTTATTGGAAACAAAAGTTTTGATAAATGGGGTGGAGGAAACAGTTCAAACCCTTGTACTTGCTTACCAACCTGAAAACCCCTATGTGAGTTATACAAGAATTTACTTTATTCTGTCATACCAAAAAAGCCAGCAAATGAGTGACTTACTGTATATATCTTACGTTTCTTGCCTTTCCTCTCAAAATTTTTTTAGATTTGTGCTGGCTTAACTCATCCTTATAACTACAGTTTGTTCCCCAAAGATGTTGAAATATGCATTTTAACTCAAAGTCACCAAAATGTGAGTAAATTTCCTATTAAATTCAGTTAGAAGGAGAGATTCGTTACCTGTTTATTCCCATTTTATTGTCCTTTCAGACCTAATTTGCTATAGGTCTTTAGTTCCTTACCATGGGAATGCTGCAACCAAAAAGTTAAGAGGGCAGTGACTTGGTTGATGTGTCCCTAATACCATGTTTTGTGTAATAATTTGTTGTGTAGTAATATATGATAATAATACATAATATAATAATACTTCCTAGATTATTTAAAAACTTTATTATGCATGAATATTAATAACAACAGGTACTAGGAAGGAATAGATTCAGGGTTCTCATCCTTATCTAGGTGTATCTATTTGTATTTCTTATCAAATGCAGTTATTTTTTCCTGCTTTGCTCATTTTTCATTCTGAGTCACAACGTAATAGCTTGCAACTCTTTACTTTTTCATAATACGTAGGGATGACTCATCTTTCATAATATACAGGTTTAATATTCACTGCAATTCGCTTACATTCTTAACACACAGGTGATGAATGGGCTTGAGACTACCTTGAAGGTCAATAAGGAAGATGTTTTCAGCTTTCTAGGGAGGTATCAGGACAAATCCAGTGGGGCAGATTTTAGACATCTTTTGCAAATGGATGTGACGCATTCATTCCAGGTATTAATGGTTTTCATTTGTGGCATTTTATTTTGTACGTCTTGGTGGCTGTTTTACTGCACTGTCTTACAATTATAATTGGTTTATGCTTATAAAATTCCTAGTTCAGTGAAGTTTTGGCCCTGACAAAGACCCTAGGTACCTCAGCAGATCAAATCATAATCTGTGTCAGTAATGTCATGTAAGAAACAGACTGCCTTTTTGTTTTCCTGCCTTTTTAACGGAAAGGTATTGATTTAATTTTCAGTGTCTTTGGGTAAAATTGTAGAATGTTACACACACATTTGCTTATACACATCTGCAACTTCATGCTGAAAGTTCAGACACGTGATTTGAATGCTTGATTCCCATTTGATTAATGGTAATGCAGTAATTATGTTTATATTTAACTTTGTCAAATAGCTTGAGTTTCCACGAACAATGGGCCTAAGTGGGGAGCTGTTTTCCAGGCAGACTAAACTGGAACACTTTGACTATGGAGTGAGCGTAAAAGTTGTCGTCGACAAGACCGTGTCTTCACAGGTCAGTTCCCCAATTGTTACAGTCTCGTTGCTTGAACTTGTGGCTTTTACCATTGATGCAGTCAAACCTGTGTTGAGTCTCTTGCTTCTTGCATGCATTAGGAGTACATGTCATCCTGGGAGCTGTTTTAACTTTGTGCTATAAATGGCTTTGAAGCTACTTTCAGACGTGGGAATGCAAATGTATGTGTATACTACAAAGTTGGTCAACTCACGGAATTCAGTGAGTGTAGTGCAGAGGTGTAAATTGTTAGGGAAACAGTTAACTTCTTGTGGTTATAGTTTATTCTCATTAGATGGCTACATGCATTTGGAATAGGTGGCTTGTGTTTTGGCTGAAACTAAGAAAACTCTGAAAGTCAAGTTAAATTGTACTTAAAATTAGCATAGTTCATAATGTTTTGTTGAAAGCTCTAGCTTGGTGGCAGGCTTATATGCAAAATCAGGCATCATCTGTAGCTTTTATTACCAGTGCCAAAGGTTCCTTCTCTAGGATTAACTTTGTCCTGCGTGGTAGTTGAGATAAAGACAGGGAGATCACTTATCCATTACCTTCACAGAAAAAACGGACTCAAATTGGGCAAAACTAATGTAATTTATTGCCAAATAAAAATAGAGCTAGATGGTGAGAAACAATGATGAAAAATAAAAGCACCTTCCCTGCTCTGCTTCCCCTCCCCTGTTTCCCAGGCCCAACTTGTTGTGTGCAGTCTTATTCCTCAAACTGATGTTTCAGTATTGTGTTTTATGATTTGAGACCCTTAATGTCCTGTTCTTCTTTTTCTGTGTGTAGGCCCAGGCAACCCTTAAGAGATACAGTGAGAGCAATTTCAATGGCTCTCTTTACCTTCATTCCAATGGAAGGGACATGCTGATGCTGGAGGTTGATACAAACAATGAAAAGAGAAAGAATGCCAGAGTTGTTGAATTGAGAGCTTTCCTCCATCAGACAGTCCTGACAAACCCAGAATCAATACAGTTCCAGATCATGGGCAAAATATTTCCTTCAAGGTAGAGAAATCAGAATCTTGGTTAATGGAGCTGAAAAGTGTTCTGTGATACATATTTAAATGTAACTATTTTCATACAGCTGCAGCAAAGCCACTGAGCAAATGCCATTTCATGTGTTATCCCTATTACTGAAATATTTTTGCTCTTTGTTTCATAGGTTGGTATAGTAAGTTAAGTTAATGTTTTTTAGTTGCTTTCCTAGGCCTTCATATACAGATAACTTGAATGAATGGGTGGTACTATTATATTGGGTTTAGATCAGCAGTTGTTTTTTTCCCCCCATTTGAGTTTGTCCTCTGAGAAGTAAGGGACTAATATTTACAAGCCATGCCAGTGGAAGAGGGCACTTCCCAGTGTTTGTTATTTAAGTATTGCGGAAAACTCTGAGGTGGCAGGGGTGGGAAATAGAAATTTGACTCTCCTGAATTTCAGCTGTCTTATTTTTCAAATTTCACAGATGCAAAAGTGTGCAATGAGGGAGTTGATGATTTTGTAGAGACCCTAGTGTTTAGCAGTTTCAGAGTTGGATAAGGACAATGAGGAGACAGAGTTAAAGACTACAATTTAGTTGAAGCTGATTAGATTTACTAGTAAAAGAAAAAATAAGATAAAAGATTCAAGAAAGATATTTTATGTGTTTCTGCAATTTACTTGCAGTTCTGAGCTTCCAATAGTACATTAATTTATTTAAATACCTGGTATTAATTTATTTAAATACCTGGTTAGGCTGTAACAGAGCAATTTACTGCAGCTCACTTCACAGGAAGTAAAATAGAACACTTAAAATTTCTGGAATGACAATTTATTTGGGATTTATTTTACAGAGAGAAAAGAGAAAAAAAAGAAAGATTGAGTATTTCTGTGGAATTGCTAAAAAGATGCAGTCTGTACAGACTTCAGTCACTGACTGATTAAATGAATCTTACTTCCCTGAATTATGTAGTTCAATTCTTTCCATCAAGTGGATTTTCACTGAGATTTTACTCATTATCCATCTTTCAAGAGGATTCCAATACCTAGGAGGGATGTCTAACAACATGAAAATATGATTGCTTCACTTCTAAGTATTTTATGTAGTATACTTGAGTCTAGAAGGTCAAACATTTCAGTGGACAGTTTGTTGAAGGCAATGTGAAAATTGTGTGTCAGTCTTTTATTTGAAACATTGAAAATTGACTTTCTTGTTGCTCCAGGAGGTTTCCCTAAAAAGCTATGCTGTGTTTCTCCAACACTGTTCAATTCAGGGCCAAGATACAAAGAAACAATTTTTGGTTCATTTACTGAACTCAAATGGTGGTGGCATCTGAAATTATTCTTTAAACTGAATTCTCAATGCTGCTTTTAAATTGGTATTTATATATATATAGAGAGAGAGATTTCATATTGTGACAGAGTTTATTTCCAACTTTATCTAACTCTGTCCAACTCTGTCTTTTCCTTTTATTAAGGATCATAACAAAAGCACCCAAGAAATTTGAAGAAAAACCATTCTGCCAATCGGTGAGACTTTACCGAGTAGCTTTATAAACATCTGGTGAATAGCATGTACTTAGTGCAAGGCATCTGATTCACTGGTTCACAACACTGGAACAAGTAGCCAGAAAGTCGATGGAGTCTCCTTGCTGAATTCTCAATGCTGCTTTTAAAGTGGTATTGAAGAGAGATTTCATATTGTGACAGAGTTTATTTCCAACTTTATCTAACTCTGTCCAACTCTGTCTTTTCCTTTTATTAAGGATCATAACAAAAGCACCCAAGAAATTTCAAGAAAAACCATTCTGCCAATCTGTGAGACTTTACTGAGTAGCTTTATAAACATCTGGTGAATAGCATGTACTTAGTGCAAGGCATCTGATTCACTGGTTCACAACACTGGAACAAGTAGCCAGAAAGTCGATGGAGTCTCCATACTTGGAGATACTCAAAACCCGACCACACTCTCCTGAGCATCCTGCTCTCATTTTACTTGGAGATACTCAAAACCCAACCACACTCTCCTGAGCATCCTGCTCTCATTGACCCTGCTTTGAGTGAGAGGGCCTTTGTCTTGACAGTCATGAATTAAGCATAATAATAAGATCTTACTAGCAATTTTTATCTCTGGCTTTTTAGATTTTTGATATCTTCTGAGATGAAGCTTAATGAAAATAGGATTCACATGGATTTCATGGGAGCCAGGGAACAGAAAGTTGGTTTTATTTTGTCCCTAAGTGGAAGAGTTGAACACACATTTGCTGGATTAAAAGCCATACCTCATCTTCTTTCTCTGAATGGATTCCTGAAGTGCAAAAACAACATTCATGATGGTACTTTTTTACTTTGTGTTTTGCTCCCAAGGCTGCAGCTATCTAAGGAAGCTTCCTTAGATAGTATGTAAGATGTATTCCTTACTGAACTGCATATAATGCAGAAGAGAGTATTTAGCATGCAAAATGGACCATTGGTCATTGAGTTGAAGCTACTTTTTAGTGAAATAACACAGTTTGATAATTCTTGTATTTTCATTGATTGAAGGAAATAGTGGGTGGCATCTTTCTTACGCAGATCTTCTGAACTGTCAGGGGCGTTTGCAGAGCTCAGAGGGATTATTTAGCCTGGAGTTACACAAGTAATAGGTCATAGTCCTTTTGTACATTTTCCTTTAGAAGGCAGTGCAGTGTAGTCCGTGGCCTGAAGGCACAAGCTGCTTGGTGAATAAAAAGAAACAGCTGCCAGAAATCTATTATGTAGTTGTTTTGTTTGGTTGGTTGGTTTTGGTTTTGTGGTTGGACTCAATCTCAGAGGTCCCTTCCAACCATGATGATGATTCTGATTATTCTGATTTGTTTTAAACACAGATACTTCTTCTAATGGAGAAACTGTCTCTCAACAATAAACTGATTCACTCAATAGATTTGGCTAAATTATCTATTAAAATAAATGGAAATTCTTTTACCTCTTCCTGGTATTAAATTAATGGTTAATTTATATGTTGCTTATAAAATTCTGGTTATTTCTGTGCCAAAGGAAACTCTCCACAGTAATAATTTCTGCCCATTACAGGTAACATCAATGTGATGGTCAACAAAACACTGTATGGACTCCATCTCAGGAACAGAAATGTGTTTGGGAATACCACCGTACACAATGTAACTTTTGCTGTGTTTCAGAACGGCAGTCAGGCAATCCCAATGGAGGCAAAACTGAAAGGACACCTGGAACTGAGTAAAGAGATGAAAAGGGGGCTAGCTAGCTTCCAGGTGGATGAGGAAGCCCTGTCTTTAGATTTTTCCAATATTATGAGTCCTGAGCACAGCAGAGTCAGTGGGACTTTCACACATAATATCAGCTTATTAAAAAATGCAGGTATGAAGAAAACTCTGACTTGATGGTGTCATATAATGAGGTATCAAGGTCAGTTTACCTAAATGAACACAGACCTGTGGAAATAGATGAGTTGCGTTTGCTCACGCCAGAACAAAATGTGATTGGGTCTTGGAACATTCTTTTTAATATTGTTGAGAAAAACCCAATGAAATAGATACAAAACCACTTAAAAACTCTTCGAACTACTTCAGAGTAAATTATTTCTTTCTTGTACATCTGTATTCCTGCATGCTGATCAGTTCCTCTAAGCACATTTTTATAGCTATTTTGATTTGGAACCAAATTGCAACATTGAAAGTCATTGAATAAATTGCACTTAAGACATAAAATATACCAAGCATTATTTCCTAAGCAAAACCAAGGCTTTTCATGAACTGAAGTTATCAATAATTTTGAATGGGTAAATTGCCTTTGTCCCTTTGAACTGAAGAAACCTTGTTTTGAAACTTTCTAACAGCTCACTATTGGAGTTGGACACAAGGCCCATTGATAGATACCCTTTATTAAGAAAATCAAACATCCTTGACTTCCAAAGTGCATGCCACATTTTAATTTAACACTCCTTTTTTTAATATTATTTTCTTGTGGTAGGTAATGTCCTTTCTTACTATAAATATCAGTAAGTGCAGCTGCCTGGATGATTGGACTTTAAAACATGGGCTGTCTTTTCTTATGAAAAACTACAGAAGGCGTCTCTTAATCTGTAATACATCTTTTCTGTATTTTACAATGACAACCCAAACGTATTGCATTGGTTTTGTTTCTTTCCCTATCAATAGGATTCCCCTTGGATGGCATTCTTACTGCTGTGTGTGACTGTGGCTCAAGAAATCGCACCATCGCTATAGCCCTACAGAGTGGCAGTGAAAGGATTGCTGCTGTGTTTGGAGGTCACAGGCTGTCCACTGAGCCTGCTAAATCCCAGCTATCTGTTAGTTTAAAGCACAACATCTCAAAGATAAAGAGACATGGCATCCCTTTTACTGTGGAAGCTGCTGGCTATTATGAGGTAAGAAGAGTTCTGCTTGTGATTATTTAATTTCTGGCAGAACCATTTCTAGTAACTGTAGGTTATTCCTGTGCACTTTATTCCAAAAGCATATGCATTTTTGAGATGTACTAAATTACTGTGTGAAAGAAAGATGTTTTCTGGCTTCAGATAACAGCTACACAGTATGACAAGAAGTCTTGGAGCTGAATTTAGACTAAATGCAATGCTACATTCAGTTCTCATTTACGTGCTTTGCTGCATAGGAACAGGAGTCTTGTCCAATTTTATTTCCCCCTATAAATGGGAAGTGGACAAGCAGCCCTAATTTATTTAGCCATCAGGTAATTGTCAGTGAGCCTAGGTACTGTAATGCATCTGGTGCTGGATTTAACTAGTTCTAATGTCATCCTTTGGATGTCTGCTAAAGAGAGGAAGACTGTTTAGCATGGCTTTCCATTTGGAAGTCTCTACCCACAGAGGTGTCATGGATAGTGTCTCCTGGTACAGTGTTGCTTGGCCCCTCTTGTCTCTATCTGCATTTCTGCTATAGATCTACGAACGACATACAGCTCTTTTGCATTTCAAATTACACTTCCATAAAAGAAGGGTTCAAATACTTTCCTTCTTCTAACATATGCTGGAAGGCTTGAGTCACTAACATATCAACATTTGTGGTGGGTTCAGCCACGGTGGTACAGTGAGACACAAGTGTGTGGAGGAAGAACTCTATACAGTAGCCTTACTTACTAGTAGTTCACTGCTTTTATCGTGTGTGCCTTAGGACTGGAATCCTCCAGAGTACTGAATGTACATAACATGTTGTGGAGCCTGAAGGAATTATTGGTACACGTCATTTGGAAGGTCTAGCATAACAGGAAAATCTTTACTTGAAATGAAGCCACTTTGATGAATTTGCACTTCTATTTTACCAGTGCTGCTGCCCTGACACAGACTGTGACATTTAAGCATGGTGAAACAGACTGTGCCTTTGCCAGTTGTTGCTGGGGTATTGTTGTTTGTTTCTTTCCATGATTTGGTTTCTTTTGTGCATAGAATTTCACCAAGAAAATTGCTGCAGGGATAACAACCACAGTGGAGATGGAACAGCTGAAAATTGAAATAGAGAAGGAAACCACTGGCAGTGCTATGGAAGTTTCTCTTTCACTTCACCATGATGTGGGAGGACTGATCAACATTGTTCCACATGTGCTAGAGGTTAGTAAAAGTCCTGCTACATAGTGTATTTGATGTAGCTTTCTGCTGTCCATTCTCAACTGTTCAGATGTACTACTTGAGAGCAAACTAGCAGGGCAGATCAGAAGGAGAGAGATTTTTGTCAAACACAGCCAGTACAGAAAGCCTAAAAATTGTTTCCTTAGCAATAAAGAGCAGGTTTTCAAGACATGGTGAGTAACAAAACGTTGATGTCATGTCAGGCAGTAACATGCAGTCCCAGCTTTTCCATCTTGCTAAGGCAGGGTGTGCAGGGGGGTCACGTGGCTGTTTGTGGGTGCAGTGGTACTGGCAGCAGAGTGAATAATAATGGCAGTAATTTTCATACAGCGGACAGCAGTCCCCAAGGACTTCACTTTCTGCAACGGGGGACATGGTTTGAAACACTGAATGTCTACTTGTGACCATGGTATTTTCCATGCCAAACATAGAAATACCACTGTCTTCACGCTCTCAATGTGCTTTGTTGATAATGCCAACAGGTTGCTTGCAGTGGAGAATCTGCTAACAAACAACTTTCTGGCCTTTGCAATGGAGCAATTACGTTTCATCATTTTGAGGTACTCGCTTAATTTATAAACTCTGCTGTCAACAACGTGCTGTCTTAACTACCACTAAGGGAATCTAAGTAATGAAAGGTGTCAGAAGTGTAGAAATGGTTTTGAGTGAGCTGGAAGTTTTGACCAAACTTTCAGATATTTTCAGTCCCTTGATATTCACAGATTCAAACAGATCAGATTACTTCTCCATCAAAAATTGTACAAGTCTGCAGGGAAGGTTGCAGTCAGTTTTACCATCATACAGTGCAATCAGAATTGTCAACAAACTTGTATTCGAGTGATACAGATAGACGTCTGTAGTGCACAGCTGTGCACCAAGTGCCGAGTACAAAATAGAGATAGGGGATGGGCCCAACAGGTGTAATTTTAAAGGCAATATTCCTGTGTCCTACAGCAGACAGTCAGGTTGTGCATCTAAAGAGCTCAGTACAAGAGCTTGCACCTAGCAAGAAAAGTAATACCAGAAGATAAAAGGTGTGTACCAGGCAAAGGGCAAGAGTCACAAAAAGGTGTCAGGGTAGTAGAGAAATAGTTCTCTTTTAGTAACATGAGCATTTCAAAACAGTGTGTGGCCTGAGAGGAAAACAAACTTGACAACAGTTTTTCCTGTAATTTTCCAGACTCCAGCAAGAGTTTCACTGAATGGGTCAATGTTTACCAGCAACTTTACTGTCATCTCCTTTGGATGTGTTTCTTTTCATGACATGTTTGCCTGCCTGCAACTCAATGTCACCACTGATACCCAGCCTCATTTAGAAGTTGACTTCCAGCATTCTTTGCCTTTCCTTCAGTCTCTGGGAATTGCCAGAGAGAACCAAGTGAAGGTGTCAGCCATGAGAAGTGACAAGTATAAGGGCATGCTTGGCATTGTCCTTGGGTCTTGCAGTTTAAAAGCTGATGGAGAAGTAAGCCTGGCAAGCAATGAAACAGATACAGAATGGGTCCTTACTTTTAGAAACAAGTGTGTCAGTCTAGAGGTAAGCCTAAATTGTTTTCTGTTATGGCATGATAGCTTGTGTATTTGAGATCATTGTGAGTCACAGAGAGCTATCTCCTGACACAATTATTTATGGAAAGAACGGTTTTGGTTCTGGCAGAGCAACGAGTCAGAGCACTTGCAGAGGGAATGTATTTGAGGATGAGAATGTGGAGTAATACAATGGTAGTTGTTGCTGCTGTTGCTGTAAAGTAGTTAGTTAATAATATCTCTTTAATTAAAATTATTTTGTCCTAGAATCTAATGAAAAGCATGTCCTTTCTGTTCAAAATTTTGGAAACTTTTTCTTCTACAGTACTTAGGAAAGGATTCTTGTAGGAACTTTTGTTTTCCCCTGTACCATTTATTTTTGGTTTCTTTTTCACAGAGAAATTTCTGATTTCTCTGTGAAACAAGCTGTCTTGCGTGGTCCTTTCCAAAAGCATATTGGTTCAGAAAGAAGAAATGCTTTCTCATTAATTAGAAACAAATTCAGAATACAATTGCATTACCTTGTGTGCTTTAAGTAGTGTAATCTTTTCTGTTGCAGAGGATGGGATTGCCTCATGCTGTAGCCTTTGGGGGCTCATTTCAACAGAACATCTGCAGCGTTGGCTTGTTAATGAACCTCCAGTGTGATGGCAGAACAGTTGATGTGCAGATAGACACTTCCTGCGAACACGAGTATATGCTCCAAGGGATGCTCAGGCATTCAGTTTCCTGGCTGAGTCAGCTTGGGCTGCCTTTTGAAAACTCTGTCCTGTTGTCTGCAGCCACAGACTCTACCACTGAGGGTGTTTTGTTGCTGCAGGCTGGCAAATGCAAGCTTAAGGCTAGAGGAGATCTCTGTATTCAGAATAAAGCTGAATGGACACTGGAAACAGAAACAGAATGTCAGCTTCTGCAGGTAGCTCTTGGAGGCTTTTAAAGAGAGATTTGGGATGAAATGCAGCCCATATAGGGTTTTAGCTAAAATAACGTTGTTTGAGTGTTGGAAAAGCACTCTAAAGACACACCTGCCTTACAGCATTAGGCAAAGAAAGTGTCTGATGTATCCTGCTCATAAATGTTCTCTGTAGACTGAGATTAATTCAGTCTTTGCTGCCTTTGCAGATTGAGACTGCCCTGTAAGGCTGAAGAGCAGTTTTAATTTGAACTATTTGTCAGAAAATATATTTTCTGGTGTGTCTTTTTTATCAAAGTAGAAGTAGTGAAGTTTCTTTAGTGTTTCCACCTAGTCTCACTGGCTACGTTAGAAAGAATGACTATTGCAGATTTAGGGGTTATTTCCAGATGCTCATAGGCATTTATGTTTTGCTTTTAACTCCTCAGTTTTAACTTCTTCAACTTATACAGTAGCAATATCAAACAAAAATGACAGGAAAGTGTGTGTCATCCACAGCGAAGAGGGAATAAAAACCACCTAAATACTAGAAATAGCAGAATTGTCATTGTTTTTTACATGTACTTTGAAAGAATGACAGGAAGCATTTCATTTAGGAAATTGCACAAGACAGGCTTGAAGTTTTAGTATTAAAAAAAATAATCCTGTAACACCATATGCAAGAATGTCTACTAGGCATATTATTATTTTGGGGGGTTAGTTTGTTTTAAGATGGAGATTGATTTGATCTGAGTGAAGCAGAGGATGTTCAGTAAACTTCGCCATGTTGAAGAAATAGGCATTTTGTGTTATTGTAAATGTAAAACTTCATATGGATACAGAAGTTGTAAATTCTGCAGGGCAGTCCTAAAATCTTCCCTCAGACCTCATTCAGGCAAAATTACCATCTTACTGTTGGGAGGCAGAAATACGACAATGCAGAGATTATAGGTTTTTTCTTTGATATTCCAACATAAAATCTCCTTTACCATATGCTAAAGGGAGAAGAAAAAAGACTCAGTACTGACTTGTATAGTCTAAAGGATTATTTTTTTTATATCTTGATAGGATCTCAGTATTCCAACTCAGTCGCGGATCACAGGGTCTATTCAGAAGGACAAGTGCCAAGCGGAACTTCTCTGTGTCCTTGAAACAGAAGGCAAGGCTGCCCGTCTTGAAGTGAGAGCAGAGTGCAAGCCAAAGATTACACTGGAAGTTCAATTCAGGCATGACCTCCCTCAACTGAAGGAAATTCCAAAGGAAAATAAGTTGTCCATTGCTGCACGAAGGCAGATAAAATATCATATTGGAATAGGAATGAAATCCGGTGCTTGTGAGCTTCGAATGAATGGTGACTTTGACCCTGAAAAGAAGCTTCAGTGGAAAATGCTTATAGAAAACAAATGCCAAACAATTCAGGTATTGGAAAGAATTTTTTTGCTTTACTCTTGAATTTATACATCTAAACCAGGATTTTTGAACCTACTAAAATCAAAAGAACCTTATCATTTCCAGTGTCTGACTGAGTACAGCTAAATTACATCTCTTGTTTCATTAAGGGGATTTAACTTCGAGTTTGGTGACAATCTCACTATAGACTCTGAGTCCGAACAGCAACTAGTAAGATGAAAAAAGAAGTTAATTGCTTTGTTGAAAAGATTTAGCCAGTAGTGAAATACAGTGAAATCTGGAGTTCTGTGGAAGGTCACTCCATATCACACGAATGTGCCATCATTTGCAGTAGGGTCTCATTTCTATACAAAGCACAGGAAGTGAAGCCCTGTGTCTGGGACAGCTGACTTGGTTGGCATCAGATGTTCTGGGAGTCCTCATCTCTGAAGGAGTCCACAGTGTTGCTGCCTGGGAGGAGCTGTGTGAGCTGCAGAGCAAGGTGGCTGTCACTTTCCCAAGTGAAGAACGGCAGCGTGCTGTGACCTCTCTCAGCTAGTTAGCACGACATGCTGAGTTCCTTTTGCCTTTTGATGGATGAGTGAAAAATGGCACTTTTGCCCTCAATTCTTGCCCAGTAGTTTGTTTTTTGAGGCCGGACTGGTGTACTGTAGGTAGGTGGAGGGGGAGAAGTTCTGCAGCAGGATTTCCTGAAGTAGCAGTTCTAAATTTAGCTGGACTCTGCACGGACTCTTCCTACTGAACATTTGTATTGCTGTTGGAACTCCTGATATCACAGTGCTTGGCCTCTCACCGATCCCACCAGTCAGTGCTATATAGGCAGGAATGGAAAGGACAGGAGAAGTATATGGAAAGTTTGAGAGATGTTATCACACAGTAATCTGTAGATTCAGTATGTAGGTCACAGTAAATCTGAATCTACAGAGACGAGATTCACCTGCCCTCTTCCAAAAACAGAGCTGCCATAGTATATCTATGTGTGGTTTCACTGGATTTATGGATGCTTTGGGCCACTGGAGCGATGCCAAGCATAGAAAATTAGTTGACTTTTCACTTGTGCAGGAAGAGCTACCACCTTGTTCTGTGCTCTGTTTATGCGTGCTCACTTATCAAAATATGTCATACATGCTCAAAATAAAAGAGACAAAATGTGTAAAATGGAATAAAAAGCTGTCAAAATTTCGTAAACATGAATATGCTAGATTTACAGCTAGGTGCTATTGGAGCTACCTATTAGGAATAAAAAGTTCCAGGTGTATAGTGTATCTGTCAGTAAGTGTAAAAGTGGTGAATTTTTCTTTTTTTTGCTTGTACAGGATCTTGGAGCACCAGTAAAAATTGACAGTTCAGGCTATGTTTTGATGGATAAAATGAACGTAGATTCACAGATGTTTATCACTGTTGACGAAAGTAAATTACAAGGACTCCTCATTCTAAGGGTCACTGATGTAAGTATGCTGCAGACCATTAGACTGCATGTACAAAGTACTGAGTGACTTACTGTAAACTATTTTACTGGAAACAAATAGTCAAGCTTTAGTAATAAATGCCAGAATAAACATAAAGTCTTAGAAAATCTCGTACCTGTAATGTGCAATGAAACAGATGTTATAGGATAATAGGATACAGACTGTGGCACTTCCTGAATCATTTCCTTGTTATGCTCTTTGTGTGTGTATATATATACATGTATGTTTTTTATATTGTACTATTTGATGTTCCTTATATTATGTGGCAAATATGATAAGACATGCAAACCCACAAGTGCTGATTTCCCTCCAGATATACAACAGGTACTCCAATATAACAATTCATCATGAAAGTATACAGCGATACACAGGAAGAAAAAGGGTTGTAATTTATCATCACTCTGATTTACATTGCAGAATAATAGGCAGTGATTAATTGAGACACTGCTTTTAGCTTCTTCAGTAAGACAACAGCACAGGAAGGCTTTGAATCTCTTGCTTTCCTGTTGACAATTACAAGTTTGACTTCTCTTGTGATGTCGTCAGTGCAGAGAGAAGTATCTTCTTCCTTGTGATGATTCACTTTCTTGCTGTAATTGGTAATTTATCTGTATTTCTTTGCTTTAGAGAAACAGCTAGCTAGTGGGAGTTCTTTGCCACCAGAGAGAAACATTGACACCTTTTTCCTTCTTAGCTGAAATACATTTTTTTTTTAATTGTATCTGTTAGGCTTGATTGTTTTTCTCTTCCCCAGTGTAACTTTCCTAAGTTCAATGCAATTTGCTTTCATTAGTATTAAATGTAGAACAGTCAGATTTGCTAACCGTCTGTTTTGAGCTTTGTATCGCAGCAGGCTTTGGGTTCTAGACATCCATTGCTACATACGCTGTGAAATATTAACAGGAAAGACAAGAATTGGATGCGGTGCTAACCCATAACATTCAAGGAGCTGCTGACATTGGCATTCCTATGAGGATGTTAGTTGATGTGGAATCAGAAAAAAACAGTGACTTCTATAAAAGACTTACTCACTTCTGTGTGGACAGCAAGCAAGTAAGTATCTCCTCCATATTAGTAAGATGTGAGATAGAGGTTGAAGTGAACTAATTGATATGGTAAATACTGTTTCTCCATTTGAAATAGCTATTATGAGGCCCTTATAGGAGTACTTTGCAGGGACTGGTTTGGTTTTAAAGGCCATAATTAAATGAAGGTGGTATCTTTCAGCCACTCCTGCGCAATTGCTTCTAGCAACAAATTTGACCTTAGCAATGATCCATGACTCCCATTTTCAAACTGTATCAAAACTTTCTTATCAATTATCTTCATGTGGTGGGTGCAGCATATTCCCTGTTGCAGTACAAAGTTGTGACTTACAAAAAAATTAGACAGTCCTTCACCATAAATTTTTCATAGTTTTCATAATTTTACTCTTAACCTGTAATTAGTATAGTAAGTGCGATTAATTAGAGTAGTCTCAATATCAGAGATGTGCCAGAGTTAACTTTTGTGATATTTTATTTGGACTGAACAGATTACAGAAGAACTGAGCTTTGTCCATAAGTTGGATGTTGTGTCTCTCTACTACAAACTTACTCATAACATAGAAGCACTGAAGACTTTGCAAATCAAAGACAGGATTGAGTTGCAGGTAAGTTATCAGTCAGTGACAGGGGAGACATGAATCTACTCTGGAATCAAGCCATGATGGAAGCAATAGCTGTAGAAGTCAGATAGCAAAGAGCAGAGGGTGTTGATGTGACTTTGTGCATTTGCTATTTAGGTGAATTTTTTAGGTCTCTGTCAATGAGAGTAGAATTTTACTCATTCAGTTGTTAACTTAGACATCTTTATCATCTGTTCTGTTCTGTTTTACCGTCTTGCATAAGATCATAGCACAGATTTCAAAGTTGCTTCATAACACTGCTTCAGTTAAAAGTCAAGATTTACACAGGAGAAAAAGCTTATTGCTACAAAATATAGCCCAAGTGCAAACCACAACCATAAACAAGCTACCTAATGTCACAGGTACAGGTGGGAAAGATTGTTCTCAACATTTTAAAATACAATCTAACTTTCAGTAAAGTATCCTTCTGATTTAAGGTGTCTGTGTTGTCACACCACCTCAGCTTTTCTTCTCATTTATAATTATTTCTAGACCCAGTGCTCTTCTTTACCTATACTCTACTTAAATTGGGCCTTCCTTACCTTTAAGTAAGAAGCTGCCAGAGAGAGCAGCAGTGCCTTCTGTCCTTCAATGTGTAATGAGACGCATGGTGGAGTATTCATCACGAAAGTGCACTGCAGGACATGCAAACTGTAATTTGGGTGTTTTCCCAATATACATAGGTCATACTGCCTGCTTTTGCTTTAAAGACATTTATATTTTCTTCTTCTCCCTCCTCCCTTTCCTTCCTTCTCTCTTTCTCTCTCTTTTTTTTTTCCCCATAAAGTTCAGGGTTGGGGGGAGTCCAGATGCTCACTTTGTTCTTGAGGAGAGTCCAGAAGCTCAGTTTGTTCTCAAGGGCTTGGGAGAGTAACTTGCTGGACCAGAACTTTTCATAGCAAAAAGGGGCTGGAGGTTGGCTCCCTATGTGTGAACAGCCCAAGCCACAGCTGAGCTTGAAGCACAAGGAGGGCAGTGTGTTTTAGCTCATGAACCTAGTCTGTTTGGTAGATCTGCAGTGTGACTTGCATAGGCTAGACAGAGGTGAGTGCTGATACGAGTTCACAGTTTACATTCCAAATGGTATTTTCCTCCCAGACCCTGATTGCTTGACATACTTATTTTTTTTATCTGAGGTACACAAGCCTACAGCACAACACTTGCTCTTTGTTAATTATGTAGCTGCTTGAATAGGGTTAAGGTACTGGAAAATATGTGTTAAAAATGTTGACTTCAAAAATAAAAGGGGCGTCTGTAACTATGTTGTGTCATAAAATTATACAAGATCAATTTTTTGAACACACCTTTGAGATGATAGTGCCTGAACCAGAGAATTGTGACTAACAGGAGCTTTACCTTTTGCAAAGCTCCCCTTTCACAATTTACCTTTGTTGCACACAGGCTGTCTTGAACCATAAATTGATCAAGAGCTTTAGTATGAAGGTGCATTATGGTGCTCACCTAACAGTTCTCGAAGGACAAATCCAGGACTTTGAGACAAGTACCAACATAACTGGGAGTTTCCATCATACTTGGCCATGGCTGCTACAAGCCAGGGTCCCATCTTCTCTACAGGTAGGTTCTTTTTTTTTTTTCCCCATTATAATTATGTCCTTTATTATGATGTAATAGCCCATGGCTTGAATGAAAACTACTGTTTTATAAGGTAAGAATGGAAGCTGAGATTTTCTGATATTTAAAAACTATGGATGGCTAAAACCTCAACTACTGAAGTAGAAAATTTCTTTTTGACTGCTTTCTGGAACAGATTATTCTCTTCTGATCAGTGTTAGTACAGTGCGTATTGTTGATGTGGTAGCTCTACAGAATAGTTTCAGCCCATTGCATCGGGAATTGGAATATTGCTCCTTTGTTCTTTAATGGGCATTTTACACATGAAATGCTTCTTTAGGTGCTTGCTATTTTCAGGGAAGTATTGGAGTACCTACTACCTGGTAAATACTGGCAGTATGCATGGATCAAGGATCCTTTATATAAAGGGAGACATGTTTTTGTGGGATAAAAGAGAACCTAATGAGTATTTGACATAAATCACTGAGGCTGGTGGGGTTTGAAATTCATTAAATTGGATGGACTTCATGCGAGAAAGTCATGGATGATTAATGAAAGACTAAGAATTTTTTTTTGTTAATTAATAGATTTTTGACATAAATATAGACTAGAGAGAACTTCAATTTGTCTTCTGTTTTAAAATTAAATAGTATTTAAATAGTATTTAAATGTTGTTTCAAGAACTTACATCTACATGTCATTTTTTAGATAGATGTGGTTTTTCAAGGGAGAAACGCTACTCAAGAGAGATATATGCACATTGCAGCTGGAGAAACATCAATCACATACATAATAAACTCCTATTATGTTGCTCAGCAAGTGGATATCTTTTGCCAAAGTGTACATAATAGTGAGGCACTGCAGGCAGCTGGCTACCCTAAGGCAATCAGCTTGATTCTCAGTTTACAGAAATCGGGTAGGTACCTGCCATTCCTTGTAGGTTTCTTGTTTTACCATAACCGTAGCTCTTTGAGGGTGTTTCAACTATTCCTTTAACAGCTGCAAACTGACTAAGATTTACTGGTAGTACCTAAAAAGGCCTTTTTCCTGTATGTAAGCAAAACTGTCATTCTTATACTGCATCTGTTATTAGTTACATTACATCTGTTTTTTTTAATTCCAAGGGACTTCCAGGGCAGCCTCCAGATCTGTCACTGTGTGATTGCATGCACGTCTGTGACTTTGTCTTCTCCATAAAGAGTTTCGGAGTTCCACATCTCTCATGTCATTTTTGTCTCTTAGCAGTCTCTTTCAAATATAACAATCTAGTAGAAAAGTTGGGGAAAGGTTTTCAAGTCATGTTGTTGAGCAGTGTTGGTCTGCTGTAGCTGGAACTGAAGGAGTCAAAGAACTGAAGAGGTCAAAACAGGTCGGAGCACTTCTAGAGAAATGGGCACTACCTGCCCAGTGCTACAGGTGGCTGTATAAGGCTAGTAATCTCTAGCTGCAAAAACACATTACTGTTGGGAATGGACTTGTCACTTAACATTTGTGCATGGGTACACAAGCTGTGTTAACTCAAGACTTTATGTGCTAAAGGACATCCAAAACAGTCTGCATTCCAACCACAGGCTAAAGCTCTTGTCATCCTGACTTTGTCAGGATGAGTGTCTTAGCCCAAAAGCTGGCTGGATTGATTTTATGCAGGCAGCACTGAAAATAATCTCCTCAAAATGGCACTACTTTGTTCTCACTATTTAGAAAGCAAAGCCAAGAGTATCTGTGAAGTCCAGTATGATGACAAAGATTTAACTGTGGCTGTGGATGTTGACACAGACTTCCAGCTCTATGGTGTATTTGAATTCATGGCAGAGGTGAAGCATTCGATATCACTTCTACATCATCTGGGACTTCCCTTCTTTTTTAAGGTAATAAAACATGGATCTTTCATTGTGCTTAGATTAGAGTTGTCATCTGTGTTATCCTACTCTGAATCTATAGCACTTCCAGTGGCCTCAGTGAAATTAGTCCAGGTTTATACAACTGCGGATGAGAGGTGACATGGCCCAGTTTATCTGAATCCTAGTTTAACTTAAGTACACAACTAATGGTCTGTTTCCAAGGAAACTCAGCAAGAATCCTTTAATTAATCATTTCAGGAAGGCACTAATTTACTGTCACTTCCTAGCTGATATAGCTCACTGAAGTGGAAAGTACTTTTGGTAGAAATCAGTGTCCTTCATACCTAGAGAATTCTTTGGCTTGGTTAGACCATTTGTAGCGTAGATATCTAAAACGTTTCAGTGTTGAATAAACAAATAAATTTGTATTCCCAAGTACCTGATAGGATCAACAAAGGCTACACATGTTCATCTCTTGGGAGAAAGAAGTGTTGAAATGTCTCCTTTCGTTTTGGAGGGTAGTACCCAGAACAGCACATCCAAGTCATCCATCACCTTCTCTTGAAATAAGACGATATGTAGCTAGGATACAAGATTAAAGGTAGACTTTTCTGAAAATAAACATTAACTCAATATAAACCTGCATAATAAGTGTCAGTGTTTCAAGTGAATATTTAATGACATTTTATTAAAAGGTATTAGATAAATCCTCTGCTTCTTCCCACTTAATCTTTAGTGAAATGTCTTTTGTTCTCTAAATGTTTAAGTGAAAAAAATTAAACCAGAAATGGTAGTTGTTTAGGTGCTTTTATTCTTATAAAGTATCAGGAATTTCTGTTCCCACAGATTTTGGGAAACACAATATGTGTTGATATTTAAGTGTGGGAGAACAGTGCTCATCATCCCCAGAGGGATTCTTTAGCAATTTCAGGATAAAGCTGTAAGGAACCAGCAGCTGTGGGAGGAAGAAAATACCCTGCAGTAAAAGATTTGTGGAGCTTCATCTGTTTAATCAAAAAATGAAGGAAAGGCAGTTTCTTTACAGTATATGAAAAAGAAGAGTAGAGGAGACATAAACAAGAACCAGTGGCTCTAGACTTAAACCAAATAAAGGTGCATTGAAAGTAAAGCTAATATTTTTCAATAATTCAAATTAGTAGCTGTGGAAGCATACAGGGAAAAAAAAATATATCTCTTGATGCTTTTGGTTTAGGTCTAGAGAGCATCTAGAAGGCCTGTCTGGAAGATAAACTTCAGTCAAAGTGATGGTTTTAATCACTCAAGAGTTTGTGCTCAGTTCAGGTGAAATTCTGGGTAGAAGTTATGATGTGATTAGTTTATTCTTTTATTCTCCCCTCAGATGACAATTCAAGAGGTTCTGACTGAAAACGAAATTGAAGGAGTTCTGAGGCTGATCTATGAACAAAACACCAACTTCTCCTTCAGCATCAGTAGGAAAAAAGACCAGCAAGGGTAAAAGGGTCATTCTGAGCACTGTAAAAATGTCATTAGGCCACTGTGATTCCATGGAAAAAGTTACTGTTTTAGTCACGAAAGCACTGGTGAAATGGATAACAATCTTTGATAAAAATGTATAGTCGCAATGAACAGTCGGTATAACTCAGGAAGTTTACAAAGGGCTGCAGAGAGACCTTCTTGCCTGCCCCCACAGCATCAAAGTAGCAGACAGTGAAATAATCCATAAAACTCTAGGTCTGAGCCAGACTTAATAACATACCTTAATTTGATATAGCTGCTTAAGTCTTATTAAATAGTTTTGGTATCCTGAACCTTGTAAAATTCAGGAGATTCATTCTTCTAAGTTGGTATCAGTATGGGTGTATCTGTAATTTTTTCTGTCTTCTAAAAATTTTCAAAGTTCTTTAAAGACAGTAAGAATGAATGGAGTCATTCTTTATTCAGAACTGTCTGATAATCAGTGTCTAAACAGAAATATTTGGTATAGCATATAAACAAAACTGTAGGGTTTTGAGGGTGTTTAAGAGGTAATATTATCAGCATTGGGGTATTTCAGATATTTTTTCTAGCAAAAGACCTTTGCACTGAAAAGTCTTGTAAGTTCTGTTGAACTCTCTAATAATTGTAAATTTTAAGTCTGGAAGCCAAGACAGTGCTTGCAAAGTCAGATTCCAAAATACCTGTCTCATTGGTAAAAAGCTGATGCATTTGCTATAACTAGTAAACTACCAGTCAAAGTAGTTTCTGAGCTGGTGGCCATGTTCTGTCCCTGGGATGCATATGCAGATTTTTCATTGAGGTCAGAGATGGCACTGCTGTTTGGTCCCCTTTATCTCTGTATGAGAGCATCAAAAAATGCGATCTGGGTAAGCATTTAGGGGAAGGTAGTGTCATTTTTAACTCTAAAAGCTGTGACAAACTTCAGTGATTACTTAGAAGTGATTGTTCAGATGAACTTGTGCTGTTGGTGAGAGTGGACTTTCTGAAATGTTGAACAAAAGTGTGTTTCTTCCCTTTAGTGAAGAGCTGAATATAAAAGCGCTCCAGACTCATCCCTTCTTTCTACGGTACTTCCCCAGTGCAGCAGAACTGTCTTCTAAGGTAAGTATCTGCCAGGTAACTGCTACAGACATCACTACAAATTAGAGTTGCTTAATATTTTAGGAGTCAAGCTGCATTTTTTCTAGAACTAGTGTCTTTTTATTGTTCTTGAGGATGTTTTCAATTATGCTACAAATCTCACCCTATTGGAAAGGATTTGTTCTATTTGACTCTGCTTCCTTGCATCTGTATTAATTATGACTTCTAGTAAACTCTCAGGAACATTTTCAATTATTCTGGCTACTAAGAATAGAGAGACTGGGCAGAAAGCAGTTCTGGATATTGGCTGTTTGCAGTGCAGATATATGCAATGGCAAGGATAGGTGAGCAAGATGAATGGGGTTTTTTGTCAGTCAAATGCAGCACAGTTACTCCTGCTGACAAAGAAACAAATTTGTTGTGCGTCTTAGTTTACACTATTTTGTAGCTGTTCCTTCTAGAATGTGAATATAGGAGAGAAATGACAAATCAGATCTCCCTTAAGTCCTGAGGACGGTAATATAACGTACTGTGTGAAGAATGCAAGCACAATATTTGTTTATTTTCTTTCTCACTCTTTTCTTTCTTTCTTTCTTTCTTTTCTAATTTTGTGGGAACTTGAAAAGGTAAATTATGACATGAGTGAAGCAAAAGGCAATCTCTACCTCAGGATGGAAAAAGGGGATTTCAATGTTACAACTAAGCTAATGTTCACTGGAACCAGCTACAATAATGTCATTGAAATAGTCCAGACAATGTCCCAGGTTGGTATCATCAACTCAAGACAGCAAAAGGCAAGCTGTGACTGCCCCGTGTCTGCATCTGGCATTCAGGATGCTGGCTGCCAAACAGTAATGGTCAAATACAGCTCCAGCTGCTGTGAGGTGTTTTGCCCTTGGTTTCTCTAGTAGCGTGAGCAAACATTGAACTGTAAATTAGTTGGGTGTCTGATGGTATAACCTGTTGTTTGATTTTATATTTGCTTTTTCCTATAAACAGATACATAGGATATATAGATAATAAGAAAAAATAATATATTATGAACTGGCCAATTGCCCATTTTTATTATGCTGGTATCACATATATTTCTTTTTCTAAATAAGAAAGAAAAGATGTCACAAATAGATATTATTGTTTATGCTGTCTGCTGGATTTATTCTGTGATAGTGGGGCTCGATGTTGTAAGAATTATTCAGTGCGATAAAAGAGATAAAAATTCAAAATATATAATAAGCAAAGACTATTGTAAAGGGGATACTCAGTTGGTTTTATATGTTCTGTTATGTAAGAAGATGACTTACTGTGTAAAGGAAGTCAACTAGAAATGAATAACTGCTTATATGAAACCATTTAGTTTTAAGGTATCATTGTACCAGACCTTTTATAAACACATTTCCAGAGCTAAATTCCATAGGACTTTACAGTGTCAAAATTATACACTTAGTTTTAAACTTTTCAGAGAACATGGTATTTAATATGTTTCACCTCTTCTATTTTTAGTTAAAAATCCTTCCAAGGCAGTTTACTTTTATGATAATTTACCAAAAAGGCAACAGAACACGTCTGCTGAGGCACATTGCTGTGTGGGATGGCAAAGAGATCAAGGTAACAGGCACTTACACTGGACTCTTCCCAAAGTTGCCCGGAGGTCACGATGTTCAGGGTAGGTTTCTCAAGTCTTTTGCCAGTGTTGATAGCAGAGTATAAAATAAACTAAGCCACATAAATCTGATTTCAAAATGCATAATCAAATGGTTTCAATCCAGGCCTTCTAAGATCTTACTTGCTTTAAATTCATTGTAAGTCTGGCTGTTGGAAACAGCTACTTCAGAACGCTACTGCTTTGTGGATTTGGAATGTAAAGCTTAAAAAAACATTAGTAGTGCCAGGGAAAAGTTTGACCGAGTGAAAAGTCACCAACAAATTAAAATGTCTATTGTTATTTTACAACAAATTTCAGAACTGTTCCGGATTAAATGAAACATTTTGGTTTATTTTTATATTTGCCTTTGAATATTTTGAATATTTAATGAAAAGCAAAGGAAACCTGGGAACTACTTTTGGACTAGATACCATTTGTAAACAGAGGAGAGTTAAAGTATTGCAGCTACTTTGATTGTAGCCAGGGCGCGAGGATACTAGCTGGGACGTGGCTGACTGGGGTTCACATCTGCATTTGGTTTCATTCAGAGCAGTGATTTGAATGAGAAATCCTAATCTCTGAGGCTTTCCCTCCCTTCTTCCTGATGGTTCCATTTCAAATAGAATAGTTCCATAGTTCTGTGCCAGTGAACATTTTATTTTTTTCACAGACTCAAACAACTTTGGTAGGAGAGAGGGGAGAATACACATAGTATGAGCAGCAGTACACTCTGCAGTGTAGATCAGGGTCTTTGTTCTGGATCCAGTTGGAAAGTACTCCTTGCAGGAGGAGTCAAGGCACTGAGGAGGAGCTTTATAGGAGCTGTAGTCTTACTGTGCTGTGAGGTTGCCACACGTGAGGGGTACACCTCGACTTGCTAGCCAGAAATCCTCCCAGCTCCACAAGTGTATGTGTAGCTTGAGAAAGATTCAGCCTCAAAAACCCAGTAATCTGGTGGTCAGGGTTGCTCACTACGAAGTGGGTGCCTTAATGCAGATTTTTCCCAGTTGAGAGAAGGAAGGGGTTTGAGGTGACCTATGTCTAGATTTGTCCTTCAGTCACTGTACTAGAGGTATAAAGAGACACATCCCACAAATAACAACTTTTCTGAATGTTGCCCAAATATCAGCTTGAATTTGGAGAGTAAAACCATTTCATTTTAAGTTCATTTTTGTTTATTTTTCTGTTTTCTTCTTCCTTCATATGTTTTTGCCCCTACTGAATAGACTTTTATATTTTGTTGTATTGTCACCCATTTCTGAGGCTTTTTTCAGAAACGGTATTAAATTCTGTTACTCCACTGGGTACTGCAGGAGAGCACTGGTCATGCAGGCCACTAACTTGAGGTGCTAAACTCTTATGTTGAGGCTATGTTGTCTGAAAATAGAGAAAATAATTCCACTTCCTTGTTTGAGGGTTGTAAGTTGCTCCTCATCCAGTGTAAGGTCATCTCAGCTTCATAAAGATTACTTTCCTTCCTGGCTGTTCCTGCTGGAAGTCACTTTGGGTGGAGGTATTAATCTTTTGATTGTTGAAGGTAATCACTGTTTTGCTGGTAAATCAAGGACTCCTGTTTTCCCTTACATTTCTTCATGTATTCAGCAGAAATCAGCACACTAAAGTTATTGTGGCTGCTGTGTAGGTGCACGCACATGTGTGTATGGGCAAAGATCATGATTTCTCTGGGAATCGGCTATTAACCCTGCTCCCTGTGGGGAGTGTGCCCTGTGCCTTTTTCTTTATCAAAGAATGAACAGTCATGATTTATGCTGGGGAAAACTTACTTGATTTTTTCCCTTGTAGTGGAAATTTTCCATCCTCTCTCCATCCCTTTCCCGTGGCATGCCAAGGTCGACTTATATGTGAAGCATTCAGCACGCAGTCACCGGGATGATCTTACTGTCATTTGGAATGAGAAGGACCAGGTACAGCAGCCCAGAGCAAATACATGCCAGGGAATGCAAGTAGGAGGCAAAATGTCCTCCTTTTAGCTGTGTCTATGGAAGACGAGCAGCCAATATTCTTGTTGGAAGTATTTTCAGGCCACGCTATTTTTCTGTTTGCAGTGACCCCACAGCTTGCTGCATAACCAACAGCAATGAAATGCGTATTGGTTCAAAGCACTGGAGAAGGGCCATTCTCAACGCTTTCAAAGGCTCTAGGACAGCTTTTGAGAGTAGATGAAAAAAATAGAACAAATGTCATGTTTAAAGCAGTTTAGGGGGAAAGAAATAAAATCTAAGAAAAATGAGTAAGCATTAGTGTGAGGCTGAAAAGGATGAAGAACCTCCCTGATGCGTGGATATATGCTGTCTTTATGCACACAGAAGTGTGACACATCCTGTGCTTTGCATTTTCAGCATTACTGATTCAATTGAAGCTCTTTCATATTTCATTCTTTCATTTTTCTCTTTATTAGTGAGAATGACAACTTTGGCATAGTTTAAATTAATTTTTATTTTCTTAAAGTCAGCATTAATTTTTAAAAATATAAATAATGAAAAAGAAATAGAAGAACTTTAAGTTGATTTCCACATGTGGCTAAATGGGGAAGCTTACTGTCTTGCAACTAACTATGCTATCTTTATATGTGCGTCTGAAATGCAGCACCTTGGCTGAATACTACATTATTTTTTGGATAAAGGAAAGACAAAAGACAGTGTGTAAACTGTTGCCATACAGGGACATAAATGTGGCTGCAGAAAGAGTTAGAAGTACTAAAGTTCCAAAAATTACTTTAGACGTTGAATAGAATGTGTTTTTGTACTACTACTTAAATGGCCACAACTATTTAAATGCCACTACTATTTAAGTTGCCACAGAAACACTTTGCACGCTACTGCTTTGTGGATTTGGAATGTAAAGCTTAAAAAAACATTAGTAGTGCCAGGGAAAAGTTTGACCGAGTGAAAAGTCACCAACAAATTAAAATGTCTATTGTTATTTTACAACAAATTTCAGAACTGTTCCGGATTAAATGAAACATTTTGGTTTATTTTTATATTTGCCTTTGAATATTTTGAATATTTAATGAAAAGCAAAGGAAACCTGGGAACTACTTTTGGACTAGATACCATTTGTAAACAGAGGAGAGTTAAAGTATTGCAGCTACTTTGATTGTAGCCAGGGCGCGAGGATACTAGCTGGGACGTGGCTGACTGGGGTTCACATCTGCATTTGGTTTCATTCAGAGCAGTGATTTGAATGAGAAATCCTAATCTCTGAGGCTTTCCCTCCCTTCTTCCTGATGGTTCCATTTCAAATAGAATAGTTCCATAGTTCTGTGCCAGTGAACATTTTATTTTTTTCACAGACTCAAACAACTTTGGTAGGAGAGAGGGGAGAATACACATAGTATGAGCAGCAGTACACTCTGCAGTGTAGATCAGGGTCTTTGTTCTGGATCCAGTTGGAAAGTACTCCTTGCAGGAGGAGTCAAGGCACTGAGGAGGAGCTTTATAGGAGCTGTAGTCTTACTGTGCTGTGAGGTTGCCACACGTGAGGGGTACACCTCGACTTGCTAGCCAGAAATCCTCCCAGCTCCACAAGTGTATGTGTAGCTTGAGAAAGATTCAGCCTCAAAAACCCAGTAATCTGGTGGTCAGGGTTGCTCACTACGAAGTGGGTGCCTTAATGCAGATTTTTCCCAGTTGAGAGAAGGAAGGGGTTTGAGGTGACCTATGTCTAGATTTGTCCTTCAGTCACTGTACTAGAGGTATAAAGAGACACATCCCACAAATAACAACTTTTCTGAATGTTGCCCAAATATCAGCTTGAATTTGGAGAGTAAAACCATTTCATTTTAAGTTCATTTTTGTTTATTTTTCTGTTTTCTTCTTCCTTCATATGTTTTTGCCCCTACTGAATAGACTTTTATATTTTGTTGTATTGTCACCCATTTCTGAGGCTTTTTTCAGAAACGGTATTAAATTCTGTTACTCCACTGGGTACTGCAGGAGAGCACTGGTCATGCAGGCCACTAACTTGAGGTGCTAAACTCTTATGTTGAGGCTATGTTGTCTGAAAATAGAGAAAATAATTCCACTTCCTTGTTTGAGGGTTGTAAGTTGCTCCTCATCCAGTGTAAGGTCATCTCAGCTTCATAAAGATTACTTTCCTTCCTGGCTGTTCCTGCTGGAAGTCACTTTGGGTGGAGGTATTAATCTTTTGATTGTTGAAGGTAATCACTGTTTTGCTGGTAAATCAAGGACTCCTGTTTTCCCTTACATTTCTTCATGTATTCAGCAGAAATCAGCACACTAAAGTTATTGTGGCTGCTGTGTAGGTGCACGCACATGTGTGTATGGGCAAAGATCATGATTTCTCTGGGAATCGGCTATTAACCCTGCTCCCTGTGGGGAGTGTGCCCTGTGCCTTTTTCTTTATCAAAGAATGAACAGTCATGATTTATGCTGGGGAAAACTTACTTGATTTTTTCCCTTGTAGTGGAAATTTTCCATCCTCTCTCCATCCCTTTCCCGTGGCATGCCAAGGTCGACTTATATGTGAAGCATTCAGCACGCAGTCACCGGGATGATCTTACTGTCATTTGGAATGAGAAGGACCAGGTACAGCAGCCCAGAGCAAATACATGCCAGGGAATGCAAGTAGGAGGCAAAATGTCCTCCTTTTAGCTGTGTCTATGGAAGACGAGCAGCCAATATTCTTGTTGGAAGTATTTTCAGGCCACGCTATTTTTCTGTTTGCAGTGACCCCACAGCTTGCTGCATAACCAACAGCAATGAAATGCGTATTGGTTCAAAGCACTGGAGAAGGGCCATTCTCAACGCTTTCAAAGGCTCTAGGACAGCTTTTGAGAGTAGATGAAAAAAATAGAACAAATGTCATGTTTAAAGCAGTTTAGGGGGAAAGAAATAAAATCTAAGAAAAATGAGTAAGCATTAGTGTGAGGCTGAAAAGGATGAAGAACCTCCCTGATGCGTGGATATATGCTGTCTTTATGCACACAGAAGTGTGACACATCCTGTGCTTTGCATTTTCAGCATTACTGATTCAATTGAAGCTCTTTCATATTTCATTCTTTCATTTTTCTCTTTATTAGTGAGAATGACAACTTTGGCATAGTTTAAATTAATTTTTATTTTCTTAAAGTCAGCATTAATTTTTAAAAATATAAATAATGAAAAAGAAATAGAAGAACTTTAAGTTGATTTCCACATGTGGCTAAATGGGGAAGCTTACTGTCTTGCAACTAACTATGCTATCTTTATATGTGCGTCTGAAATGCAGCACCTTGGCTGAATACTACATTATTTTTTGGATAAAGGAAAGACAAAAGACAGTGTGTAAACTGTTGCCATACAGGGACATAAATGTGGCTGCAGAAAGAGTTAGAAGTACTAAAGTTCCAAAAATTACTTTAGACGTTGAATAGAATGTGTTTTTGTACTACTACTTAAATGGCCACAACTATTTAAATGCCACTACTATTTAAGTTGCCACAGAAACACTTTGCTCTCAGCAACATTACAGAATTTAGTTCGCAATTCTGTAAATGTTTTTTTTGTGCTTCAACTTCGCAAGCTGCATGTAGACACTGCAGCAGTGGAACTCACAGTGCCTAAAGGTGACATGAAGCTTAAGCATGGTTCATGATTTCAGTAAAATACAGAGAATAGCTTTACTTTCAGCTGTGCCATGTAGGAAATTCAAGTAGCTAAAATGTCCTCGTTTCAACACTAATTTGCCTCATTACTTCAAATATGACTATATAATGCACAGAATTCATCTGGAGAAAAGGTGTGGGGAAATCTTACTGGGTGTGTGTTTGAGGTCACTGTGTGAGAGGTGTTTTATTTCACAAGTTCCTTTTACATCTGTTGATGTGGATCAGATATCAGTGTCATCTTCTCTGAAGTTTGGAAGAGACCGTACAAACTACAGAGCTGCCATTGCCCACCCATTTAATTACACTCTGAAGCAACTGGAGGTCCATTCCCTGTCAAAAAGAAGAGGCAGAAAGTACAACCAGCAGGTGAGATCATGAGAAAGGGCTGCAAAATACAAAGCTGTAGTATTACTGTGTATTTATGTTAGTGTGCCTTTCTGAACTGCAGAACCACGTATCATCCTGAAAATTGTGAAGAGCACCAAGTTGTATTACCTCCTTGTGGCCAAGCCACCAGTGTTGTTTCCTTTTCTAAGCATAACTTGCTGGCTGACAGTATCTGTCTTGCAATTTAAGAATTGACCGATTTTGGATGGTAAGAAGACAGGAGTGCACAGGAGTCAGCCTAGCAATGAAAATGAGGCAAATTCTGTCCACAAAGGGATGAACAACCTCCTATTCCACACACACAAAAAAAATAGCCAAAAACCCTTTGATACCCATGTAAAGCAAACCTAAATCTTTGGACTGTACAGGAAATTGCAATGCAAGTGTGAAAATGTGCAAAACTAGAAAAGTTTTAAAATACAGTTGTGATTTAAAATACAGATGCAATATACTTGCAAAGCGTATATGGGCAAAAAGAGGAAGAACTCCACAAATCATCCATCAAGACCAAAGACTGCAGGGAATTTTCAGTCTGAAAATGCATTGCGTGGGCCAGGATGCTCTAGTTGGTGAGGCTGAAGACTTTCTGCTCAATAGTGAGCTGTGCAAACTGTGCAGTGTTCTGTTTGTTCATCTGGAGTTTTTTTGGTACTCGCATTGGTGCCACAGAATGCTCTCAGGTTGTTTTCACCGAGTAGTCAATGTATCTCAAGCATCGTATTCGGAGGAATAAATTCTCTCGTAGTGTCATTACTTGCTGTGCATGATAGACCCAGTGCAGCTTCCAGAGAAGGTAACAGGAAGACTTTATAGAATCACAGAATGGTTCAGGTTGGAAGGGACCTTAAAGATCATCCAGTTCCAACACCCTGCCCTGGGCAGGGACACCTCCCACTAGACCAGGTTGCTCAAAGCCCCATCCAGCCTGGCCTTGAACACCTCCAGGATGGGGCATCCACAGCTTCTCTGGGCAACCTGTTCCAGTGTCTCACCACCCTCACACTAAACAATTTCTTCCTGAGATCTAATCTAAATCTCTCCTCTGTTGCCTCAGTTGTAAAAATGTATTTTGTCTAAGGCCCTGAGCTTCCAGTCCATGTGGATTTCAATGGAGTTTTAACACTGTTCTGTCACAGTTTGGTGTTTCTTTTTTTCTCTACTGGATGGAGAACATTCTGCTAGATCACCCTACAGGCTTTTCTGCTAGTCCTAGTCTTGCTTCACTGGAAAAATCCTTCTCTTCTTGTTTCAGCTGCAGCTCCAAGGAAATGGTGGGCAGCCTGCTGACATCCGACTGGCCCTGGAGGATAAATCAAAGGTGAACCACACCACCTGGCGTGGCTGTTTGACACTCTCTTCAGGGCAGGTATGAGTCTTTAAGTCTACAAAGGGATGGGTGTAGCTGAATTTCTGGGTTAGAGTTTCATAGAATGAATTTTTCTGCACTTGTTATCATATTAAAACCTTTTACTTGAAGTCAACCTTTTTGTGTCTCAGAAGAAAAAAAATAAACCCTCTGAAGAATTCTATTTCATGTTGTCAGGTGTGTTTGTATTCGAGATGCAACTTCCCCTCAAGACAGAATCATCTGTTTCCTGGTAGAGATTGAAGCAGTTGTTTCCTGATACAGACTATTCAGGTGTTCTCGCAGAGCTGTATTTTTGCCCAGAAAGCACACTCCTCTAGTAGAGGCTGAACACAAATTTTAGAAAATTACTAATATGTATATCTTATTTTTTTTCCTCTCTTCCAGCTTCAGAGAGTATTCAGTATGGAACACCTGCATGCATGTGGGTCTGTAGAGCAAAGATCAGCATTGTTTAATGAGTATCTAGATCTGAACTGGGATGACAAAAAATTCAAACACAATTTAACATATGAGGTAATAAAAGGCGATTGTATCTGTTAATTCACCACTTTTTGTGGAAGCTGTTTGTAATAGATGGGAATTTATTCAGTTTTTATATGTAATTTTGAGTGGATTTTAAGAAAGCTTCTGTAGAATACCACTTTCTGTGAAATACCATTACTTCATTTTACCTTCTACCTTTCTTTGCAGAGGAAGAAAGCTAAATGTAGCATAATTAAGAAAAAAGGAGCTCTTACAAAGTAGAGAACTCACCTGTGCCCTAAATTTGCAAAACTGCTAAGTTAATTCTGTAGGACAGGGACGGTTCTCATAAGCCAAAATGTTGTGGAATGTTGTCAAATGGAAATGTTACATTTTGAAAATGTTACATTAAAACCCTGGAGCTATTAGAATAAAAAAAAGCCAGCACAGGAACAGGATGAGCTGGGATGAGTGGACACGGAGAAGCATCTAAGATTGTGTTGTCATGTTTTAACTTTGTTTTCTTGGTTCATCGTAGAGAAATCACTTCTGGTATCCTGATAAATTTCAGTTAGAAGCTGTTCTGGAAAATATTTTCCTGACCTCATGCACCAAACAGAAGATTCTGGGTAAAATGGAAACAAACTACTCCTCTTGCCTGGACTATTATATGAGCTTTGAGCTCTGTGACCTTCCAGATGTAAGTCTCACATAAATGTATTCAACCTATTTCCCTTTAAATGTAATTACGGAGACTCCGTTTTTCTCAGCTGCAACTTCTCACAAAAACTGCCATCCTTCTGTAACTTAACAAATCATAAATAGTGTCTTTTGATGGGTTGAGGCAGAAAGGTTGTGTTTGCCACTGTAGTATATTCTGTAGTTCCTGTTACAGTTGTAAACCTTTCTGCTTCCTCTGTGTTCCTTCTATCCTGTTTCTCTCTCAAAGGTCTTTTAATTTCATGTTTCTGGAGAACTTCAAAACAGGCTCACAGGTGATCAAAAAGGAAACTAGAGAGGAATAAAAGTTTTTCCTTCCCCTGTAGGTAAAAGTTTATTGGTTTTTATGGCTGCTCTGCCAGTGGTGGATTTTTGAACCTTAGCGTAACCTTAGAGTTGTCATTTTTTTTATATAACAGACATAAACCAAAGACCTATCCATGATATTCCTTAGGTGCACACTGGACCCCAGGGTTGCCTACAGATATTGACAACAAACACAATTACCTGTGTATGAACAGGTAATTCACACAATTACCTGTGTATGTGTTTGGAACACAAAACTTCAAACTTGTAATAAATGTGATCTCTTTCTAGTTTCCAGTGGCTAAAACACATCTCAGTTGGTTTCCTTGTTTACTGTCAGAGCAGGTCGCACCCTGTTAGCAACAGGAAACAGCAGCCAAATTTTGATGCCAGTGAAAAAAGACCAAGATGTGTTAGAGCCTGTTAATAATGCAAAAAATGTGTATGCATCAAAATACATGGCTAGAGTAGCTGAGAAGCATTAAAAAAAAAAGTGGACTTGTTGTAATAAAATATATTCCAGCTGTTCCTTTTGTCTTAGGCTGTAATCACTGAACACACTTTGTTGTACCACAGAAACTGAAGATGTAATGAAATAAGACAGTGCTGAGGGAAGGAGGATGCGCTCGTTTCTGAAACTAAAACTTTTCTTCATCACTTCATTGTCTAATTTCACAAAATGCTAACATTATATAACCTCTTACTATTCTATCCAGAGCCCATTTTTTGGAAGAATTAAGCTTTAACATCTGTTTTATTCATACACAGGTAATTGTTTTCTCTGGAAGGCACCAGCTCAACAAAGATGACATCATTTTGCAATCAGAGGGCAGATTCCGCTTTGGTGATCGTGAACAAGATGAGGGGTTGATTGGAGTATCCTTAAAAAATCAGAGTTCAGCTGATATGAAGAACTATTCCTTGGAAATTGAAGTGAGTTTTTATTTTATTTCAGTGGCACTGGGATTTGGGTTTTGGTTTCTAAAGGCCTACTGCCATCTATCTTCCAAACTGATCAGGTGCAGCCAGTGGCTTTTAAAACAGCAGGCAAGTACAGGCAATGTAGAATACTCGTGGTTTTTTAGTTCTGTTTTTAAAGGCCCAGTTATGCAATGTACCTGCAGTATTATCAAACACTATTTATCTGCAGACCTCAGTGATGAATATAGTAAATGTATATCAACTGGAGTATGTAAAGAGGCTGTGTGTTTTTATAGCTCACCACCTTCAGCAAGACTGGAGGCTCTGGTGAGACATATTTTTTTGCACCATAGGAAAAAATAAATAAATAGGAGAACAAAATGTGAGACCAATATGATGCTTACCCTGAGGCAAATATCTTCCTTTTTCTCTCCCCCTCTATTTTGCATTTGTTCTTTATTTTGTGGAATGAATAAGGTGGAGAATCTGATGGTGGCAACAGAGTGAGGCAGAAAAGTAATGTGGTCAGCACCATCCAAACTCTCCATTAGATGGCATGTGAGTAGTCAGTTGTAATTAACTGAGACAGTGGGCCACCCCTTAACAAAATGATGATTTAATACCTATCAGGCTAAGACAAATACTAAATTATTTTTCCCTCTTTCTTTGGAAAGAAGGGAGATGAAAGAAGTATCAGCTGTTCTACTTGGATTTTCTCTATTCTTTCTTTTCAAATAAATGGCACAAATCAGCAGCCTCACAGGGAATGGGCTGTTATAGTGTGTTCTTTCATTGCTACCACTGAAATGTTGTCCACAGCCTTGTGCTGTCCAGTCATTCAGCTCTTGAGCCAATCATCCTAATGCTTGTGCCTCTCTTAAGAGTGAAACTCCTGTGCAGTGCACGAGCACGGGGAAACACTTCCTCACCACTTACCCTTCTGTGGGAAGCACTGATATTTGAGCATCATCTCTGAACATTCATTAATTTTGTGTGGTGGCTTTGAATAAATGTTTTTCCTTTATGGCTGCAGTTAAGAGCCTTTGAAGATATTTGGCTAGGCCTGACAGGAACTGCTACTTCCTCATCCGTTCAGAGCCAAATCCTGGTGGAGGGAATTATTGATCAGAAAGAGAAAGTAAAAGTGGCTGCTTCTAAAGGAAAGGAGTGTTTTCAGTGCTACATGGGGTATTTGAAAGGTATGTACCTTCACAGACTATGTTCTTAGTCATTTGATTTAGTTTTAGGTAGTCATGCAAGGAGCAGGAAGTTGGACTTGATGATTCTTATGGGTCCCTTCTAACTTGAGGTATTCTGTGATTCTGATTCACAGCTGTCATTGGTATGAAGAGGCAGGCAGAAATGCTCCTCTTTCTGGTGCCAAGCTAGTTCAGTTTCATGCTGGGTCAAGCTATGGTCTTTCAGATAATGAAAAACTGAAGCTTAAAACTTGTACAAAGGTCAGTTTGGGAGACATCTGTATGATTACTAGCCAGGGGAGGATTACAATAGATGGTGATCAAGATAGGATTAATTTCATCTGGATTTAGCCATCTTAAAGTTGTGTGCCTCATTTAAGATAATCATTACATTCCAATTTCAATGAAGGGAAAGAGAGAGGCACCTCCAGAGGCCACGCTGGAACAGATGTATGAAATCACCCTCTGCAGGTGACTCAGCGGCAGTCAGTTCTGACTGACAACAGAGGGCACCAGGCTGTTGGCTCAGACTCTGCCTAACTTACAGAAGACTAAACTTAGACAGAATGAGACATGCTGCAGGTGTTTTCGGTTGTGCCCATCCACCTTTCAGCTACATTCTGTTTGTGTGCACACCAGGTGGATTTGGTGGTATGACCGTTGTCTCAAACTCATGTTGCTGACAGTCCTGGTCCTAGTTTCAGTTATGGATATTCCATATATATATTCCACACTTCTGCAGTGGAATTTCTCGCAGGTTCATGGCCTCACTTGTAAGTGCTGTGATGTCTTTGAGATGGAGACCATTACTTAGTGAATTACTGAAGTCAGAAGTTTGTAGAAATAATTCAGCTCAACTCTCTCAACCCAGATTCTGTGTGCAGTTAGGGAGCCATTTCTGCTTATGTCATCAGTACTTGCACAGGAACAAGTTGCGTGTGTGATGGGTGGATGAGTGACTGACACACTTTCATTTATGGTCTACGTTTTGAAACATCAGCAACAAGGGACACGGAAAGACTAAAGTAGAAAAAAGCCTGCAAATCACTGCAACTGAGAGACTTAGATTTATATTAATCCAGTGCTTGCTTTGCAGTAGCAAATCTCTATTTGTAAATCATTCACAAGCCACACGTAAGAGAAAAATCAAACACTGACACTGATCTAATTTTCTCCCGTTTATCTCCTCTTCGTTTTTTTCACAAGCACCTAACACAGACCCTAAGTGATTAAAAACCTGACTTTGAAACAATGTCTGCCAGTGTTGTTCCTGTAAGCAAAGCACTCTCTTTTAATTCTCTAAGGCAATTTGGAAGAAGGAATGGAAGTCAGTGCTTGTACTGATGGGCAACAGATGGCTACCGTTAATACCTATCTCAACATCAATGGTGAAAGGCAAGAAAACATGGGACAAATGGCTCTGGCAGCTGTTAATGGAAGCTTGAGTTTTCTGGCTCATGGATGTGGGGATCCGGTTCTTAAGGCTGAGGTGAGACCCTTTGGTGGCAGTTAATTTCAATGTGATTTTTTCCAGAATATTGTTCTCTTCCAGGTAGGCTTCAGGTATAAATTTTGGTGAGTAACCAGGTAAAAAGGAGAATTATGCAATTTTTAAACTTATAATGACAGTAATGTGCCAGCGCTGCTCACCATCTTGGTTACAAAACTCAGATTAAAATTCTTGAATGGGCTGTTACTTCTAATAGGGTTTCACATACTCTCTGCTTGAAGGAGGCTTTTTGGTTTTTCATCCTGAAACACTTCTGTTCCCATTTCTAACCATTGAATAACACAGAAGTCATTTCCCCTGAGAAATGGGAGGCCACTGTGGATCATTTAAATGCTACAAACTTTGAGTGAGTTGGACCCAGCACAAGCAATAAGTCATAAATTCAAGGTTTTTAATCATCTTCTTACAGTATAAACTAAATGAAATTGGGAGCCTTCTGAAAGTCAGACTGATGGAGAAGTTGAAGAAGTTTGATGGATATATGTGGAGATTGAGGAGATCAGTAAGTATCCGTACATCATCTGTGAAAGCACCATGAAACTTTGATGCAGAGTTAATTAAAAATCGTATTGCCTGCAGTTGTTTTGTTTTGCTTAAACATTTAACTAGTTAACCTGTGCTAACCTGCAATTCATACGTAGACAAAAAGCCTGTTTCATGGTACAGATCCTATAACTCTGCACCAACACTGAGGAGTGCAGAATTGCCTTGGAATGGAGTCAGAGCTTTGCTCGTCATCACTATGTATTTTGATTGTTCTTTTCTGGGAACCACTGTAGGTGCAGCACGTTGATTTTCTGTCGGAAGCAGCGGGCTGGCCCTCAACAGCCTCGCAAAAGGCAGCAGGATTTCTGCGCAGTGTGGGTAGAGCTGTCGCCCAGGTGTGGAAGCAAAGTGGAATCAGGCAGATACTGAGAAGCAAAGTCCCGCTTTACCTGGATAAAATTCAAGACGTTGTCCAGCAAATGCAGAATGAATTGCAAAGTAAGCAAAACTGTGCAAAGCAAGGAGAATATGGACAATGTCGGTGCAGGGCAAAACAAACTTGAGTATAAAAGATGCTGAACAGCACAAATGTTTCTATTTTGATCTAGCAGAAAGTGCTGACCTTGACTGAGTTTACAGAGTGGGAACCTTGATGCAGTAAGTGCTAAGTAACCTCAGTGTGACCACCTTCCTAATGAAATCACTGAAGAGGCCTCCTCTTGGACACGGGAGTCTGGGTTCAATCGGATGAGAACAGAGCCCTAATTCCTAAGCTGAAGCATTTCTGGTAACAGTTCCCTGGCAAGCATTTCCTCCCAAAGGACTGTTCACATCCACCCTTGAGTTCTGAATGCTTGTACTAATTGGATTTCACTTCATCTGTTTTTCCCAAGTCTGTCCAATAGCCTCTAACTCCCTCTTCAGCTGGACTGTGGCCCGTGTCGCAGCCATTGAGAAATGCTGTCAGCTGTAATTAGCTGAGAGCACCTTCAGTTCTCCCAAGATGAAACCCTCGCTGTGGGCTTCTCTCCAGACTCTTTCCACTCAAAAGTGGGATTTAGTTGATACACTGGGTTAGAAATTAGTTGTGACCGAACGGTCCTGTTGTTCCTTGAGCAGGTGCCGGCTGAGCTCAGCTCTGATGGTGCCATGTATTGCAAAGCATTCCTTACGTTCCTTTTGGAAAGCAGCAGTGTGTTTATGAGGTGTATGAGTGGATCAGGGTTATAGCTAAATACCTCTTGTAGTTTTTCATAACGCTGTGTCCACACACTAGGGCTGTTGCCCAGCTGCCATGAAAACAAAGCTGCCTTTTCCTGTTTTCTGTGTCCCTTCCTCTTATGCTGGAAGCTGTGGGGAAGCAAGGAAACAAACAGCCACTTTTTAACAAAGTGTTTTCTTACTTAGCTAAGGTTTGTTTCGTGTAATCTGTTTGCTTCAGAGCCCCTAGCGACTTTGAAGGATGCCTACTACGATGTAACCTTGAAACCACTGGATGAAGTTTGGCAAGAAAAGACAGAAGAGTGCCTGAGGAAAATCCAGGCTTTTTTACCCAAGATCATAAAAGACGTGTGGCTAATGGAACCAATCCAGGTGGCATTAAAGGCTGTGAAAGCAGGCTTGGATATGGTTGGTATAACTCAATTCTGGTTTTTAATGGTTTTAAAGGCAAGGCCTACAAATTTAAGTCTCAGCTTAACTGAGGTTTAACTTACCTGTAGTTCAAACTATGTGTACACAAAAATAGTTAAATGTTTTTGTTTATGGAAGTAGTGTGGTTATCTTTCCACATAACAAGCTTGTGCACAGCTAATTTACTGTTGTTGAAATATTTGTCCTGCTTTAAAAGCAGTACTTTTTGAGCAAGAGGAGAGGTTGTTTTTCTAGTTTTGATTGGAATGGAAATCACAGCAGCAGTTATCTGTCATTCATGTAGCTTTTGCTTTTCTTCCATAGAGAGGGTGGATTGTGATTCCAGTAAATAATGTCAAATAGTTTTGGGGTCTTCTAGTTTAAATGCAAAGCATAAAGAATGTATCATAATGCCAATTTATATTAACAACACTATCAATCCTTTGCAAGCTACTGAAGCACATTACTTGAAGTATACCGATACTTCACTGAGTTAATGTTATTTTAGGAAGGATATATTTCTGCCCATTATTTATTGCTGTAGTTACTAGTGACTCTGCTCTGGATATTAACCTCCAAATGACGAGATGCTGTCAGGCAAGTGACAAATGCAAGAGAGACTAAAGTGCTACTTCACTGACTATTGATTTAAAACTCATTATCAAGTACTGACCCTGCCCTGAAGCCGTACAGTTTTGTGATCTCCTTTTCTGGCTCTCCAACAGGCCACACAGCAGATGCTCAGGTGGGCAGAGGCCATGTTTTCTCGGGCTGTGAGCAAGATCCGGAAGCCTTTACTCAACCTTTACAGTTTTTCAGCCAGGTAACTGCTGGGTTTTGCAGGATCCCTGCTGCTGGGTAGTGTTCTGAACGGGTATGTGCAATGTTCGTCTTCGTATCAGCTCGTGTGCTGAGCCCTGCGGGCAGCCCCCGGCCACGCTTTGCTGTGGGCACGTGGCATAACACCATAATGTCCATTTTTGCTGGCTACCGGGACAGGCTGCATTCCAAAAGAAACGGCTCAGCCCCAAAGAGAATAGCAATAACTGTGGTAACTGGCCTTATACAGCCTGGTGTATTGCAGGTCTTAGCCGTCGCATAGCTTTGTTTTGCCATTCCACTCAGACTGTAGTTCTTAAAAATATTTCACTTCCACATTTCTAATAATAAAGCAACTGCATTTCATCAGCTTGGCAGATAAGGGCACGTGCTGTTTTGTTTGTATTCCACAGGAACTGTTCAGTGGCAGTAAAACTGCCGGTACTTCCTAAAGCAGACCGCTCCTTGGATCTGGCAAATATTACTAATTATCTCATTGAAGAAAAGCTAATGAGGCCCCTCCAAGACCTCTACAATATCAACATAGTTGCAGAGTATTATAGATTCAAACGGAGGATGATGGAGAGTCCCTTTGAACGTAAGCCCTTTCAAAGTGCTGCTTTGTTTTGTAACTGGGTCTATTTCCATTTAGTTCTAAACTTTACAAATTGTATTTGGAGTATTTGTTTACATAGTATTTAAAATTAATAATTTTCCTATAAACTTTATGTATAGTCTTTCTTGTAGAATAATTGTATGTACAGTATCAGCACTTTGGGTAAAGCTGACATGCAATAAACGCTTCTACGTAATATTCATGCAAACTTTGCAACTCTCTACACTTCCTACTGTTGGGACTAGAAATCAGGTGATGGCATTTACCTGTTTTATCCTGTGCTCCTGTGAGTTGTTGCTCTGGTTCAGTGCCAGTCCTACCATGGACACTTTGGCTGTACTTTGAAACTGGTGACATCACTTCTGTTGACTCCAGGATGAAAAAGTTCAGTCCTACCAAAACTTTAAAGACTTAGAGATACTACGTGAAAAAGCATTGCTCAATGCTAGAAGGCTGCGTTAACAGTCCCAGCTGTGCCTTATAGATAATGGCTTTTCCAGAAAGAGCCATTTTTAATGGCTTCCTCCCAGTAGGCAGAGCTGACGGAGGGCACTGAAAGCAGGTCCTAGTGACCAAATAGTGAAAGTGATCCATCAGCAGGGTTTCCTGGGCTGCGACTGTTTGATGCTCTGGTTTGGCAGGGTATTTTTTTTGAAACAGTTAATATTTTTGCTGTTTTCTGCATGCAAATGTATAATGCGTATGGGGGAGCTTACAAATAAAACTGTCAAGTAGCAGGAGTATAAATGAAGATGAGCTTTGAATCCTAATTCTTGTTTCTCAAAGTTTTAGGACACTCAGGTAGATCTATAATGAAAAAGAAATTATTAGATTGCTCCCTTTCAGGAGAAATTTTTGTTGCAGAGCAACTTGTAACTAATTAAAATGTAATAACAGATTGAGAAACGATTTTAAGAGTATGCCAGCCAGAAGCTGTTTGTGTTGAGTATACAAGTAGCAGCACTTACTGCTCTGTGGAAAACTCACTGATGCCACTTCTGAAATGTCTTTCTCTAGATCATGCCATGTTAATAGGGACCAAGCATCTTATGACTTTTGATGGGAGAATTTATGATTTAGCATCAAAGTGCAGTGTACTTCTTGCCAAGGATTTTGTTCACGATACTTTCACTGTAATACTAAACGAGGAAACTGGTAACTCAAGATCATTGTATGTGGAGATGAACCAGACCGTGATCAGTATCTATCCAAGACTGAAGGTAGGGGGGAATACTCAACCATTTTTCCTTTCCAGACCAGAAATTATCTTCAGCCAACCAACAAAAAATAAAAAAAAAAAGTCTTCAAAATATGAATGCTTAAAACATAGATCAGAGCAGCTCTCAAATCTAAGTGCTAGAAAGTAACCCCTTTTTAATCAACGCTCACTGGGTGCTTAAAATGAGCTGCTCAATGAACTTTTCAGCTTCTCCTCTTACATGGCCTAAGAGAAAGGCAGTTAGAGCAGGCTGGGCCCATAGCCTCAGTGCACCTGGGAGGCTTTGGGCTTTCCTCATCTTTCAGAAGTTTAACACAACTCCATTCCTATTCCCCAACTCTGGGCTGAGCAAAGTTGACCCCATCCCACCTGCAAAGCCAGATTGACTTTGCCTGTCATTGAACTTTCATTGTGATGTATTTGAAATTGTATTTTCATTTTAAAACAGGTATCTAAGATGTATAACTTCTCCTTTATGGAAGAGAACTGCCAAGTACTGGATCAGTCCCTTGAAATGAATAGCACTAATTCAAGGAGAGAAACCAACAAAATAGAAGTGTCTAATCAGAAAGGAGTCTCTGTATCTTGTGACTTTCAGTATGGTCTCTGTACTGTCACTCTGGCTGGATGGCACCATGGTGAGTATCCATCATACAGCTTCTGTCAGCAGTTACTCATTTTTTCTGTATCTCTTGAGTTATCAGTCTGTAGTACCAGCACGTGGGTGGGTTGTCTTTCACTTGCTTTTCCCCTCTGTGTTGACACACACCCTGGAAATGGCCTCAGGCGTTCCCAGTTATTGCCAGATAAACAGGGTATGTACTGCTCCAGCACTTACCTTGGTAACTGTTGTTCCAGTGCAATAAAGCAGATGGGAGGGGAGTGGATGTGACAGTCAGCCCAACCCCACACCTCTGTTGCAGGCTCATCTTGTCAAACCTGCAACGGCACAGAGGGAGGCCTAAAAGTTTCTAGGGCTTTGGTGTACTTGGAACACATTCCTCTCCATGTCCCCACACTGTTCTAAAACTCAAACCCCTGGGATTAGCAGAGAGTGGATACGATTGGATGGCTTGATCTGGTCAGGAGCAGCAAATGAACAGTTAACAAATGAGATGGCAATGCATCTGAGAGAGAAAAATCCATAATGGATGCCTGGGCACACTTTCCCTCTTCCACATCCCAGCTGAGCTCTGCTGGACACAACGCTCAGAGCCCAGAGACAGCTTTTAAAATGGCCCTGTGTCTATTTGTGATAACTTACTCCATTTCAATTTCATTCCAGGTATTTCAGCTGGGCTTTTTGGTACCAATGATAACGAAGCTGGAAACGAATGGATGCTTCCGAATCGCTCCTTCACTGACAACGTGCAAGAGTTCACACAGAGCTGGCAGGTAAGGAGCTGAAGGGCTTCTTGCTCTGCAGACACCAGTGGTGCTGGGGCACAAACAGCAACGTCCAACATACTGTTGTGGCTTAGATGAACTAAAGCTAGAGAGTGAAAACAACAGCAAGCTGTACATAATTTGCTTTCCTGTGTTTAACAGGGAAAGGTTGCATGTATTTGCTACAAACCATACAAGAATTTCCTGTAGGTGGGCATTGAGTGTTTTTGGCCTAAGCGGTAAGGTAAAACATCAAGGCTGCTTCTGCTATTAGAAGAAACTGGTGTTGGAACCAGGTGTCTTTGATGTTTTCTTTCTTAGAGCACCTCTTTCGGGAATACAGAGCCAGGCAGTACTGAGTCTGGGACAAATCCATATGTTCATCAGTCAGGCCACAGTTTGTACCAAGGAGCTTTCCTTCCTCGGAGGTTTCTTTAGAGCTGTTTGTTGTAGCTGGGTATGTTGAGCCTCTTCACTTTTTTTGTTCTTCCTGCTTTTCATTTTATCAAGAAACAAAACTTTAGAAAGCAGTAACTTGTAATGTTGTTCTCCATCCCCACATCACTAAGTGCAGAGACTTTTTTGGCAGGTTAGCTGCTACTCATTCACTTAGTGACTTATATAAAAGGAGTTCCTATTACTACCACAAATAAATGTGGTAACTCTTACATCAATAACATTACACCTCTTTACTTCAAAGAGACTTAACCTTAATTCATAGAGTTTATCATCAGCTGAAAATAATCTAAATCCCTTGAAGCCTAATTTTTAGAATCTGTTAAAAAAACAAACCAGCATCTTATTACTACTAAGATTTGGTGACTCTTCCCTTCACCTTCTCTCTCACCAGAAGGTGTCCAGGTGCTGGGCACAGAAATCCTTCCCTTTTCAGCTCTATGTCAGTATTTAAAAAAAAAAAAAAAAAAAAAAAGAAGGTTGTTTCAAGTATCTTGTACTTTTCCTTGCTGTTGGAGAGAGATTAATGAGTTTGTAGCCTATGTGTATGTTAATAATGGGGCGGGATCATAACATGACTGACTTTATAATTTTCTTAATTACTACAAATACTAATTTCTAATATATTCATAAAAAAGCAATAAACTTCATGTCATAAACTAGCTGGGAAATCATGTACGACCTTAAAGTGGCATAATGGCTGATGGCACCACGGCTGCGCTGATGCCATTTGTAGGCCGTGGCATCTTTGCAGTGCTCTGTACTGCCACCAGAAATTCTAGACAGCTGTAGCTGAACTCTGTGCTGTTTGCAGTCATACCCTGTTCAGACTGACTGGCCACACACACACGTACTGCTGTCACACATCACTAAAACCATGGCCAGAAATACTAATGTGCCAAGTCAGGAGTTCGTGCCAAGTCTTAGAAACTTTGCTGAAGGGGTAGGAAGAGACGACACGGTGGAAATACCCAGTTGAGGCAGAGTATTCAGCTGGAGTGATAAAAGGGAGCTTGCAAAAATCCATCCTGAGCAGAAGTTTGAGCACAACTATATGCACTACAGAAAGCAAAAGCACAATCAGGTTACTGGGCAGGTATTTTAGCCTGAAATAAAAGCAGTCAGTCCCTCTGCGCTGCCAGATTCCCCTCACACCGAACTCTAAACTCGGACTATGTCAGCAGCCACACACCAACATCCTTTAGTGAATAAGAAAATCAATAGACAGAGGAAACAATGCCTGTAATCTGTAAGATTTATGAGACATACATTTTTGTTTATGAAGAACACAAAAAGAACACGTCTCAGTATTAATGAACAATGTATGTTAATCAGGGCACTTTACTGAACTCTAACCACCTGTATCTCCCATCTCACACGGGGAATCTGAAGAAGTCATATGACACTAATGTTTAAAAAAAAACCCCATACCCCCACAACTCGAGTAATTCTGTTTTCCCAGGTAAGCAAGTGCAGCCTCGTACAGAAGAAAGCGAAGCCATGTCCAATCACAGCTAAGCAAAACGTCTGTGAAGTGTTTTTTGAAGAATCACATTCACTTCTTAGGAACTGCTTCAAAGTTGTAAGTACAATGTCAGCCACCAAAGGACTGTCTGAATGGCCAACTGTTACACTTCAAAGGGGTACACAGAATTGGTGCAAGGACATAGCAGTTTAGTTGCAGATAACTTTAGAAGTAATCAAAGCAACAATCCAGAGAGGGGAAAAAAAAGGTGCTGTATCACCATAAATATAAACTGAAGGTCTTTGACATCCACAAAATAGTGGTATGACCTTGACCACTCTTCAGCGTACAGGTGTCTACAATTTGGAAATACAAATAAACCTCTCAATATTAGGTAAAGAATAAAGGTTTGTGAATGGGCCTAACAAGGGCTGCGGGGAGGGAGACACAAATCAAACTAGCTCTTGAGTTCCCCTGCATCTGTATTACCAGATTGTGGTCTCCAGGAGAGGCACAGGCTGGCACCCTGCTCCTCTGACCACTGTCCCTGCTGTCACAGGTGGACCCTGACCCGTTCTACAGCATGTGCAGGTCTGACTCCTGTGGCTCCCGGGCGCTGGAGGCTGCCTGCAGTTTAGCAGCAGCTTTTGTTCATTTGTGCAACCGAAATTTTGTCCCTGTGGAAATGCCTCCTCAGTGGTAAGTCTCGCTTCTTTCATCCCAGATATTCTGACTGCATTGCTCCAGTAGTTACATGCCTGTTATTCGAGAGCACATGAGAAACTAAAACTATAGGCGTGAGCAAAAATGGCCCTATTCCTGGAATTATTCTTCTTGCTCCTTGTCTCTCCCACCCCTTCTGCTCTTCACACAGAGGCACACCATAACCCATCCCATTAGTACTCTAATGGCTTTCTTATTTCCTCCCAATTTGCTGTGTAGAAGGAGGCAGAAGGGTATTTGCAGAATATGCTGTGATTGTCCCCAGGAGCTACGCTTCTCAGATACTATTTTTGTTTCAAACCTTTTTTTGTCTGAATAATGCATTTGGATTCATATGAACAGCAATACATACTATGCAGACACACTGAACATACTCAGTGACCTATTTCTGTACTTTTTAGTCTCTTTTAATAAAATCTATCTATCTTCTTTAAACTTAACCTAGAATTTCAAGATTATCAATACTTGTATTTTAATGCAGCTGTCATCTGGAGATCTGTCTTCCGGGAATCTGTTTAAAAATGCAAAGAAAGCTGAAAAGCCTGAAAAGAGCAGTAGTGCTGGCTTGAAATTTTTGGCATTACAATCTGTACCCATTTCTGTTGTTGTGGAAATTCGTTACAGATCCCAGCACTTTTTGGTGACGCTGAGCACACTGCTGCATTGCACACTACTGCAGAAACTAGATTAGATGAGGACAGTTACTGCTCTAAAATAGACTGGAGTCGTGCTCTCCTGCCTCTATCTGTGTTACTTGGGAAGGGTAGAATTTTAAGGAAAGAATTCTTGTGTACAGAAAAAACCTGTTGGAAGTCCACAGCCCAAAAATACTTGTCATAAAATTTAGTCCCCTTTTATTTTCTTCAGAGCTACTGCATTATCATTATTTTTATTATTATTACTGCAGAGTTACTGCCCAGTTCAGCTGCCCCGTTGCCATTTCCAGTAGGCGTTACCTTACTCCAGTCCCAGTTAGGGTTGTGCAGTACCGGTACCCAAGGAAGGAACTGTTGGTTGTGCTGGGAACTGCAGTCATCTGAGACACCTTACCATTGAAGGGTGATAGCAGCTGTAGATTTTGGCATTTTCTGTATTATGTCTATTCACTAATTAGCATTATAGATCCTTTCTACAGGGTTCTTATTAAACTCTGTCTCCATTGGATACTCTGCATTTGGTACCTTCTTTCAACTTTGCTATTTATTGACAAGAAATTGCTATATAAATAATGATACATCAACAATGATAACTTGTACAATTTCAGTAATAGTGATTATTCATGTATTGTTGTCTTGAGAGATGACCAAGAACATCCCCAAAACTTACTATTTTACTTATCTGCATTATGTTATTCTTAGTTTAGACCCCCTAAACAGGAGCCTTCTCTAAAATTTGCTATATGATTGTATCTTGTTATTGAATGAGAACATTAAAGGAAACACACATACAAATTATCATCATACTGATTACTGATATACTTGCCTAAGTAATAATTTAAGATGTAATAGTATTTTTACAAGACTGCAATGGAAACATTTACCCTATGGGTGAATGATGGGATCATGCAGAAGATACAATTATGCTTTTGCTTGAAATGAAGCACTTGGGTTTACACACCTAACTTTTACACTCCATGCTTTGGTAAAGCTTGCTAATGAGAATACAGCATGGATTTTTTTAATATATGCAATGAATTATTATATTAATTTGCATTTGTAAATGTACTGCCACCTCAAAACAGTGATTTGGTGACTACAAATACATTTGTGGTATGCCTATAAGTAAAATATTTAGAAGTATTTGCTGAATTCTCACCCGCTAAGGAAGGGAATAGCTGTCATGTGTTTGCATGTGCCTGTGTAGCCATAAAATAAAAACCTAGGAAAAGAACACTTACAAATATATAAGTGCACCACACGCACGTGTTCCCGTCTGCGGCAGTAACGCCACGTGTCATCATCTGCCTCACGTACCCAGCTCAGCCAGGGTGTAAGCAGGAGGCAACCCTGAAATTTCTGAGCAGTAGCTTCTAGGCAGTAAGTGGGTTTAACTCCAACAGTTTAAACTCCTCAACATATTCATGTGAAATACAGAAACAAATTTTGTTAAATTTGAGCCTGAATATTCAGTTGAAAACAGAGTTTTAGAATGGCCAAAAGACTGAAGTCCACTGGTGCTGCTAGTTTACATTATCCCATTTCTGAGGAAAGGGATTGGAATTACAGTGGATCACAAGCTCAGTTAACAACAATAACATGCTATTAAAGCATGCTATTAAACAAGCAAAGTATACTGGGATGTACAGATGAATAAACATATTTAAGACAAGAAATAATTCTTTTCTATTCAGCTTATGTTATGCATCCAATTTTGGACACTGTTTTATAGTTAAGCTCTGAACCAGCTGAGTGAAGTCCAGAGGAGTCTCTAGGGGAAAAAAAATAAATTGAAGGCCTGAGGATAGACATAAGTTAAATCTTCTAAATAAGTAAACACACTACAGAGAAGGAAGTGGAACAGCCCAGACTGCAGTAAGGGAGAACCAGGATTGATATGACAAAGGAATTTGTCATGGTCAGGCAAGTCACCATGGTATTCTCCAGCCATCTAAGGTCATGAGAACAAGAGAACACTGCAGTCAGCAACAGCTGCCCCTGCACTACTTTGTAGAAACTCTTACCAAGGTGCTTCCACTGGATAGTTGAACTAACAAAAACCATCAACTCCAACATGTGAATTTATCATCAAACAAGATAGAAAGAACCTTACATCTTTATTTCCGTTTCATGGATCTAAGATAAAACTGTATCTAAAATGCTAGAATACTTTTCCCCACAGTTTTTTGATGTCATAAATGAATTTGATGCTATTTTTCCCTTCACAGATTTCTTGTAATTCAGCACAATAACACCTTGTATTACATGTCACTTTCTATCCTTTAAGTACTTACTAACCACTTACCTGGATTTCATCTCTTCTTTATTTCAGCTTGAGCCAGTTCTGAATGGCAGATACCAGCCCTGAAGATGGAGGAACCCTTTCAGCACCCAAAATAAAACGGCTATTTTAGGTGGACAAGCTAGAAGCAATAGTGGGGAGAACAGTAAAAGTGAATGAATTAGTGTTAGAACTATGAAAATAAGCTTTTCACTCAGAAACACCTGAGGGTAAGAGGAATGATTTGAGTACAGAGACAAGAAACTACAAGCAACCAGAAGAAATTGGACTTAAAAAGACTTCTCCCATTTAGTAGCCAAGTAGCCTCTTCACAAGCCTCGAGCCATAGCATGAACACTTTTAAAAGATGACAAAATGTCTTTCCCAGCTCAGATGAGTACAAGTGTTTTGCTTTGTGAAAGCAGCATATCAGCTTTGAACCTGTGCAGAGATGGTGACTGCTTTTTTCTCCAGAACTGAAACTGAGCTCTTCAGTAAATTCTGGAGAAAGTGCCCTTTTTCCCAGGAAGTGACCCAACACGCAAGAGGGCTAAGATAGAAATAGGATGGTTAAATAATTTAAAGCATTTAATAATATTCTCATTTTTATGCTGTTTGATTTTTCCCTTATTAATGTGTACCTTGTTAAATGAGACTCAGCTTTCTTGGGATCTGTTCTGCAGTTTCACGTTCTCCCTTTGTGTCTTTAGACCCTCCTTCTCAGAACTTGGGTCACACGTTGGGAAAAGGTGACGGATGCCTGTCCTATCCATAAAGCAGTCATAAGGTGTCACAGATACTGGTGTGCGGGTGTCTCATCTGTTAAATTATTTTCTGTATTTTAGTTCTACTGATTAAAAAAAAAGCATTACATTTCTTCCCACAGTACCAGGAATGCAGTTATTCCTTAGTAAAAGGTAACACTGCTGAATCCTTCAGATGTCTTTGCATATTATGCAAACATTGAAATAACTGTGTTCTGAACTATGAAATAATGCTAATAAACATCTGGCTTCCTTATTTTTATGCTGGAGTATGGTTTTACTCATCACTCCTAAGAATGAAGTTACACTGACCTACAGAGTTGGAACTGGCTGGGTTGAAACGGCTCCTGTAGTTCACAGAGACAGAAATACCAGCTGCCCTCCCTCCTCTGTTCGCTGCTTCAGCTGCACTTGCTCTCTGAACCCTTACACTGCACTTCTATACAAATCCTAAGTAAAACAGGATTTCACACTAGTCAGGAAAATGCCTACAATTGCTAGGATTTCCACACACATGAGATGCTGTTACATAAAACATGGTAGAAATCAAGTCTTCCTGTGTAATAATTTTACAACTGCTTACTCACAGAGGTGTTGTATAATGAGGTATTTTTGACAGAGATGATTTATACCAGTTATTGATTATAAAAATGCATGATCTTCTCCCCAGTTGCTAACATCCTTCAAAAAATACTGAGGTGACAGCTGCAGGAACAAAATAGAATGTCAGCAAATAGAGCAAAAGTTTCAGAAAAGCTGCCTTACTTTTCAGCTAATTGCAGTGCCATTAGGGATACAGGAAAGCAGAGTTAACTGTGTGCTAGCTGTAGACAGCAAACCTGAGATGGATGCAGATACTGGCTCTCCTAGAAGCTGCATAATAACATAGCAGGAGGTAAAGAAGCCATTTAAACACCAATAAACATTTTGAACTACAGTTTAAACTACAGTGCTGGCATCTTGAAAGATGTCTGGAGATGGTCCTGGGTTATGCAAATGCAGTTTGCCTCTGGATACTTACTAGAGGCAAGAACTCCACCCGCCCCTCCAAACCACACCTACAGCCCATGAAGTTCAGCAGGAGCCTGGGTCAGGGTGCCAGGGGTGCTGCAGACCAGGGTAGCTCATTGAGGAGCAGGGGAGCCAGCTCCTGGGGCAACAGAAACAGCCAGCCCTTCAGCCCTGCTCTTCTAAGGGCTGTCCCCAAACACTCCACTGACCACAGCGACAATAAACACTGCGTCAGACCAGTAACGAAAGTCTGCAAAAAGCACCATTTCTACAGAACAGGATGAACAGAATGATGATCTGGGGGCAGACAAGAAAAGGCAAAAAATAAACCACACTTCTTTTTTCAATACCTTGTTCATAACTTGAGCTTAAATTTGAGCATTTATTTATAGCTTTCATTAATAAAGTCACTTCTCCACTTTTTTGTCTTGGCAGCTATACCTTTCCCTTGTGCCAGACAGACTAGTGGAAAGGGAGTCTTTCATGCCTGTTCATAAAGTAACTATCGACAGATGGGCAGAAGTTTCTCACAGGTCAAGAGGTTCTTCAAATTAACTTTGTAAAACCTTTACTGAACCAAGGAGGCCACCCATCCCAGTGACTTTCAGCTGTGTCTTGACCACACTGCACAGCAGTGTCTCATCTTGGGAATTAAAAAATGGCAATAACAGACCACCCTCCCTGCCTAGCAGAGTCAGATGTCGGCTATGCTGTAAGGCAGCCCATATTAGCAAACAAGCCACTAACGAGGAGGGTGACAGAGGGTGATGTGGGAAGCAGGTTCCAGCGGTCCCTGAGGCTGGGTGGCAGCCGCCCTGCCTGCTGCAAACTGACTCACTCCCCGGGGAGCCTGCCAAGAGGAGGTATGATGCAGCACACAAAGCATCCATCCCTCAAGCCAACTCGTTTGTGATTCCTCATGGATGTGATCCTCCAGGAAGGATCCCCTTGGCAGGATTTCACTGAATCATTTCTCAGGTTGATACTTTCAGAACTGCAAAACTGGTATTTTAGTCTGCACCATCCTGGCTTTACCAGGACTAACTTTCACTGTACAACTACTGATGACACTGTACATTTTACACCACCTCGACTGAAGTAATCTGAAACGCTTATGCTTCAGATGAAGGTAATGCAGTGCACAGGCCAACTGTCCCATGGAAAATGCATAAAACCCACTGAACAGCCACACGTCACACAAACGGCTCTGACCTCGCCTCCTGCCGTGCAGGAGAGCAGAACTCCTGCATCCAACTCCTGCTGCTCAGAGCACTGTGAACGTGCCCACCCACACGTGATTAAGTCAGTCTTCCAAGTGTACTTCTTAGTGCCTACAACTTACCTTCAACGTGTCCTTTATATAGCTCATAAACAGAAACTCCAGCTCTACAAAGTTCACAGACATTTATGCAGACAATGCAAAAATTTATGCCCCAAAACTTAGTAGCACAGTTGAGGTTTTGAGGATCTATCACAGGCTGAGAAACGTTTGACATTCACAGACCCTTATGTTTCTGCCAGTTGAGTTCCCCAGATACTGGTATGTGCTCTGAGATAAATCCAGATTTGTTCCAGTTATGACAGAGCCAACACAGCGCACAGAAGCCTTCCTGCAGTCTCCAGCCATTCTCCTGCCCTCCTCAAGGTCCAAACACCAGCCACTCTTAGAACAAGATCCCAGCTTTGACCTCCCCCTCGCAAGGGAGGGCTAGAGAAGCCCCTCACCCTGTAACTCCTCAGCTACGTGCTCTGCTGTAGAACAGCAACAAAAACGACAGACAAACCCACAAGCTACTGTAGAACTCAAGACACGAGTTACAACGTGCAAAAAGGGAGAATTCCCAGTCCCCAGTAGAGCCCTGCAGTGCCAAACTGGAAACCCTGAGATCAGGCGCTTCAGCCTGACCCGAAGCCCCAGGCAACATCAGTCACTCCTTAGGTAAAGCCCGGCTAAGCTCCAAGCCAAAGCCATCACTACAAGTCTTTTAATTAGAAGTTTGACATTCAACTTTGCTAAGAGTGTCTTTTGCTTTGAATTCCTGGGAAAGCACTTTTTAATGTGAGCTTTCACACAAGCATCCAGTCTTGGCTTTGAACCCCTTGAAAGTTACTGTTTTACTAACGTAACTGCAGGCTTTCTGAAGCACTGCTTCAGGTCAGCAGCTGATCTCCCTCCAGTCAACCGCCAAGAACATTCACAGCTTTGTACTCAGCCAATACGTGGAACTTGCTAGGGGGTTGGAACCAGTTTGTGTCTGGATTTTTAGTGAGGTCAAGCGTAGAGTGCAGGGACAGACAGATCCTGAAACACCCTAAATCAAGCAATGGAGAGATCTAGATCTTGTTATGCTTGGAAACGGCTGTTAGCAAAGAAACCCCAGATGCTTTGACTCACGAGCCCCTGGATGGAAGCTGGTGAAAGCTGCAAAGAAATCCTCTCCAAATCCAATCCAGTCTTACATAAGCACAATTCAATATAAATACAACTTTTCAGATGCACCCAGTGAACATGCATCACTGCCAGGCAGATTAACAGTAGCTTCACTCCCAACCAAACCCTGCACCCACCAACCACGCAAGGCCGGGCCTACAAGCCAGATTTAATTCTGCCGTAAATTTACTGCCACTAGCAAGGATGCAGCAGAGCTTTTAGCTCTTTATCGCCAGGGCGTTACTACCTAGTTAGAAAGCACACCAAGGTGAAATCTGGACTGAGATTCAGGTTCCTGGAATAAGAAGCATTCAGATGGAAAAGGAACTATTGCCAGTTAAAAACAGTTGCCAGCCAATACACTGACCACATGGATCATTTCTGAAAGGCTACAGCATTCCACCAGTGGGTTTTTACAATAAACCCAGACCGCCAACATTCTGTATGTGTGTTTTGGCATTTCGTAAGCAGGGGCTCAGAGCACAGGACTTCCATTATACAGCTGCCTCTGATGTGGTCTGGTTTGGAATACTAAACTCAAGGCTGGAATTGCACTCTGAAATCCAGTCCCTAATCTGCAAAGATGTCATTTAAAGATCTACTTAAAAGATGGTATTTAATGTCCATATGCTTTGAAAATAGTCCCACGATCTTAAAATTTAGTTACCACCACTTGATTGTTGCCTTAAACTGCACAGAGTACAAGCACAGATAATCTTCCCTTCCTATATGCATTCCTAATTGACACAACTGTACTGCTGGACAATACGCTCCCAAATAGCAAAGCCAGACTGCATGGATAATGCAACGCTTTCTGTAGGACTCAAGTTCTCTTTAGACAAGGGGGGGAGGGGGAGGAAAGAGTATCAATAGTTCTGCTTTTAAAAGACTTTTCAATTTGTTTTTATGGCTGGGTTTTTTTTTTACAGGACAAAGAAAGATAAAAATAAAATATATTTTGGAATGATCTAGACAACTAAAAATAGCATACATCGGAAAAAGAAAGGAAACCTTGAAAGAGAAAAACACACTTGGGCTCAGCAAGCTTGTCTCATGAGGTGGCAGTAGTATTTGCATCTTGAATCCAGAGCACCTATTCCAAGGAACCCTGCATCGCATCTTTTCAGTTAATTTCACCTCACCGAACAGAGGAGCCATTACTGCACCACTTTCAGTATTTCAGAAACACAGAAACCAGAGAGGTATTTAAGTACAAGACTCTGCTTGCAGTTAAAAAGAGACATTTGTCTTAAAAGTTTTCTGACATGGTTATTACTGAAAGAGAAAACAGGTGAATATGTTATTTCCAACCACAGTCCAAGTGGACTGAAACACACTTTGCCTTCATTCTACGTATCGAGTTGGCTTTGGTAACATGGTTTCTGTGCAGCCCTTGCAGCCAAGAGCACACTGCTATAGGAATGACTACCTAAACACATGTTCCTAGAAACAGCATGTGTAGAAACACGTAGTATTTATTCTCGATAGCGCAGACATGTTACTCAGAAAGCACCAAGTGTTTCTCAGATCTGCTGGTACAGACTGTGGAAGAGACGAACATTGTGATTATTATCGATACGCACTGATCCCTCCACTCATCTCTGAGCCTGACTTCTCTTTGGTTTACTCCAACAGTAACTGGTGGTCGTTTGAAACCACAAATACACAGAATGGCCCAATGTTCTGCACCAAAAAAAAAAACCAAAAACCCACACTTCCAGTTATTTTAGGCAAAAAAAGAAGTATCTAGGGGATGACTCTGTGCAAATCCTCCACTTCAAGGGTCCACATATTCTTATGCACGGGGTTTTCAGAAAGATCTGTCATCTTTATTGCTCGAAGAACAGGCTCGGGACTGCAGGACCGCACCAGGCCCATCACCATTACATAGTTCCCTAAAAAAAAAAAAAAAAAATTAAAAAAGCATAACATTTAATTAACCTTTGTATTTTCATTTTAATTCAGAAAGCAAAATATTTAAAACCAAGTAGTTAAAACAGTTTGACTTAAAGCTGCCAATACTTGCAACAAAACTTAAGGAATGATGGCTTAGAACTGAAAAAGGCTTCATTATCCACACAGCCATTCCTGTAGTAGATTTTACTAGATTTTCACATACAGTTAAGTGTCAAAACCAGCACACAATTCCTTCTTCTGCCATGGAAGTGGAGGGAGGACAATTCGGAAGACTGAAAGTTAAACAGCATTACTATTTTATACCACAGCTCCTGCAATGCTGCAGTCTAGCACTTCTCCAGTTGAATTAACAGTACTGATGATGGGGAAAAAAAAAAAAAAAAAAATAAGAAAAATCCCTATGCTTGTTCCAACACTCGCAGCTCTTCTCTGCAGCACCCCAGTTTGATCACGTATCTCCTGTAACTGTGGAGAGCTACAACAGGCCCTATCCTTACTGGAACTCACATGGGAAGACAGTGCAAGCCTTTGCACTGACAGTGACACACACACTGTCCTGCTGCAGCGCTCCAGCAGCACAGCTCTTCTGGAAGCCTCTCCTACGAACGGGCCTGTGAGAGCAGGCGCCCCGCGCAGCTCAGCGTGTCCCCCGGCCACACACAGGCACGAACCATCCCAACGCCCCACGCAGCCCGGGGCCCGCAGGCCTCTGCCGGAGCCTCCCGCCGAAGCACCGTGACGCGGGCGGCCCAGAGAACCGCATGAGGCCCTCGGGACCAGCGAGGCCGCCCCGGGCCGCCCTCCCGCCCACCGCCCCGGGGGCCGCGTGCCGTGCCCTGCGTGTCCCCGTCACCCGGGGAGGGACACCCCCGCGGGACCGCACTGGGAAGGAACCTGCTGAATTATTTCAAAACACATACGGGGAGGGAAAGCGCCCCGCCAGCCCCGGGGGGAGCCCCCCCCCCCGCGGGCCACTCACCGCCCACCCCCGGCCGGTACCTGCGCTGAGGCAGGGCCGCCCTTTGGGCACCTCCTCCACCCCCAGCACGGTGAAGGGGCCGCTGCCGTCCTGCAGCCGGG